TTTACTATGTGTCATAAATATGTACCATCTCGAGTTTATTATGTCACCACCAGAAGCTGTGACATATTGTTATAGTCTCCAAATGTTTTTTGGATGGTGTTTGCCGGTTGGTATTTGGTGGTTGGCAGTCAGCATCTGTAACATTGACATTTTGCATGTCAACACATTGTTGTTATCTCCACAAAAACAGAGTGTTCTGTATCTAGTGGCATCTTGATATAAAAACTGCCACATAAAACTGATCATCATTTAAAGATATTTAGACTTGTAATTCATCATATGGAACACTTGATATAGCCTTGTACAGTGGTGACATCTTTATGTTGAATCAAAACATGTTGATTTTCATTGAACTCAGCCTTACCAATAGACTAGAGGTTCTAAATTAAGTCAAAATGATATTATATTTGAAATCTACTACATCTAGAAATGAGGTTTCAAAAATTGTTAATCGACTTTAAAATTTTAGTTTTCTTTGTAAAACTGATTTCTAGGTCAGGTAGATTCTCCATAGAGCCCATGTTATAAAATCATGAAAAGTGAAATATCTTTATTTGTAATGGGCATATTTTCAGTTGTGTAATTATCAAACTTGAAAAGGTTATATCAAAATAGATTGGAGTTGAGAGGAAACTTTTCCTGTACCTGCCATGTTACTTGACCCAAATTAGCCATCTGGGGGTGAAACTGGCAACGACCTTCTGCCACCTTGGTAATTCTTGAACTGTTGATGAAGTGTCTGCACTGTGCATGTATGTGCAATATGATTTCTAGGTTATTGAGTGGATTTCCCATAGAGCCCATGGTATAAAATCATGAAAATGAAAAATCTTCTTTATTAAATGGATCGTGCATTCTTTTTCTGGTCAGAATTATATGAAAATAATGGAACAGTATTGTGGAAGTAGAATTGGTAACTACCAACAGGGACGCACTAGATAACTGAATCGGTCTATTTTTCTCAAGAAATCTAGTTTGTTGCTTTAGAATATACAACTTATATATTTCATAAATTGTCTTATCTAGACTCTAGTTGAGTTATACAGCGTTATCTGTTTATTGACTGGACTTTGCACATGTGACTAGGATGATTTACAATGCTAGCTATATGACAATAAGTACATGTTTGATATTGGCATTGATTTTTATATTGCAAATATGCTAATGAAGAAATATTATAAGCTCCTGATTACCAAAGACCCTTTAGAGAAATGTGCTCATATACAGTATATGTTAAATAACTATACATACTGGTAGTATGTATTTAACCCACACTAATAAAGGGTAGAACCTGTGGGGCTTTAATATACTATGAAGGTTGAACCTGAAAGTGGTTTTCCCTTACTCTATCAGAGTTCTATATGTATTGTTTCTACAGGCTGTATTGTTTTTACACAAAAAGTGCCACCAACATAGTGTTGTAAAACTTACTTTAGCACATTAAATCTAGACTCCATGGAGTAGCTCCACAAGTAGATGTGCTTTCATGAGTGTTACAAGATGAGCTCTGAATGTTGTCCATTTCATAGCAGGTACATCTGGGTTCTACTGGCAGTTCCCTTTCGAGTGGCCACCACATTCGTATTACATGAACCATACAGATTTTTATCTCTACCCTAAAACAATAGAAGGCCCGAAGAGAGAGATCACCATAAAGACCAGGGCCATTTCAATGGAATAATATGTTAGGATTGTCAATAGTAGAATCAAGTAGAATCCAGGTGTGGACAACATCTAGTTAAGCCAGTCATCCGAGACTTCTTTTGGAACTGCTCCATGGAGTCTAGTTTTAATGTGCTGAAGAACAACTCAGAATTCAGGCAGACAAAAAGTAATGCTACGTTTTGTGAGTGGCATTTTTTCTGTCACCCTGCACATTTGATCTACCAATGAATGGGCCTTATACATTTTCAATAAACATGGCCTTATACATGTTTTATACATGTACAGCTTCTATAAACATGGCATTGACATTGATAGGTCATTTTAGGAATTTACGAGTTCTTACACCTTTTAAAAACATGAAGTGAATTTGATAAACCATTTACATGATGTGACCTCTTTTACTCGTGCTGTACTTTGCCTAGAAGGTCCTAAAACCTTATCTTGTTAGACTTTCTCCTAAATAGATTACATTATATACCACATATAGCTATGATATTCCCATAAATGTGAATTGGGTCTATGGTATAACATCCATAATATTATTTTTTACAAAGGACAAGGAAGTTTTAAATTTTTTCACATTGACTGCAGCGCTTTCTGAGAATACACATATTGACCCCATCCCAGGCTGAATTATTTTGAACAGAATGTTTAGAAGTATAGGTTAAGTGTGTTTGATAAACGTAAATCTTTGTAGAGGATGTATTGTGAATTTAAAATGAATACATTCTGTGTTTGTGTTCTGTGCTTGTTTTTCAACACCCACAGTCCCATTTTCAACTTAAGTGCAAGGTTAGAGGTTTGTTTTTATTGGTATAATAATATAATATACTATGTACTTTATTAAATAGGAAGGAACACTATGACCTGAGTATACAAAGTTGTACACATATAGCTTGATTTGTTTTTATGTACCATTACCACCACAAGTGGCGACATATTGTTATAGTGTCCAACTTTTTTGTGGAGTTTTTTGGCATTCAGAGTTCGGTGGTTGACTTTTGGTGTTCGGTGTCTGTAACAAATGGCAGGTGGTGACATTTTGCAAGTTAATGCCTTGTATGAGTGTGCATAAATCCAGGTTCTTGATGGACATTTGTAACATACATTTTAGGCTTGTAAAATGTCAGTTTTTTACCCCCTACCCCCATAATAAAATTACTTTTACTTAAAAACTTTTGATGTTGTTTTACTTATATGATGAATAACAATTAAAAACAGTCCTTAAAGATGGGTTGATCTGTAGTTGGCCAATAATCATTACAGAACATTGGCCATATATATTGGGAATTCGAATATGTGTTGTGTGATTTGATTGGAAGATCCTTAAACAATTGTTTGTGTGAAAGTCGAATTGAACAAAACTTTTAGAACCTGCCAGAATTCTTTGTCATTTTATGGTTGATAGAGTAAGTTTTGATTCTTGGTTGTATGTTTCTTGGTAGTCTATATTTATACCTTGAACAAAGTGATCTTTTTGGTCAACATGACATGACAAGGCTTGATATACATTTTGTGAACATATATGCACCCTTACAATATAACTCAATAGTTCTTAAAGAATCTTAATTTCTGTGTTGGTCCCTTCAGTATGTGCCTTTCATTTATTCTCACAGAAATACTTTTGCAAAGGGCACAAAGAAGAGACATAAGCTGCGAAAGAAGTTTAAATCTTTCAGACACTGTTCTTGATGTGATCTGTTCTTAATTTTCTGATTCCTGTTTTGAACATATTTGTCAACCTTGCTGATGTAAGGGGACCTCTCTTTTTGAGATAATGGGAAAAAGTTGATGTGCATACTTTATTGTGGCATTTTATGATCTTAACAACACTTGACAACAACCTTCGTCCTTCATACATGTTATATGTGGAAGGAGTCACTGATGTTCATGGATATAATAAAGGAGTTTCATACCAATGATTTTGGTACCTTGAACTATTGTCATTGTACCTTCATTTATTTCATATGTTTGTCTTTGGTTAAACAATAGAACAGTTATTTTCTTATCACCTTTTACAAGTCACATGGCATGTAATCTGTCTTCTGGTCAACATTGCGTAAGATAACGCTATCTTCTAGACCCCATTATGTCTTTATCTCTCTCCACTCTAAGTCAGTAAATCTTGTAAAATGTTTATGACAATTGTGAAAAGTTAGGTCAACATGGTCTATGTAGGTGTACAGTCAGTCATACATGTATGTACATGTATATGAGCTACTGTTTTATGACACTTAATAACGTGTTAATCCAATACTGTAGATCAGAATTTAGAAAATGTAAAAGTCTGTAACCATTGTAAATTGTATATGAGCTCCTATTTTATGACACTCGGGATACTGCAATGTGTTAATCCAGTACTGTAAACAAAAATTACAAAACTAAAAAAGGAAGCTCCAGTACTATTTACTTTATGTTGTTAATTGTCTTACAGTTAGGTCACTGTTTTTGAATTCAGACTTAGCAATACTAGTTCAAATTTAGTTAGACATTGAGTTAGATATTCAAGAGCATCTTGTTTAATTTGCTCTTCATTAGGCAATGTGTTCTTTGATTTTGATATAGTTATGCAAAGTTTTCTGGTAAAATATTGTATAACTAAATATACTTGAGAGATCAAGGCTAAAACAGTTCATGAAATAATCACCTGACGCAAGTGCAAAAACCTTTTGGTCATCTTTATGAATGACATGGAAATTATGGTTGTTGAAAAAAACAGAGCATCTAGCCCATCACAGGACTCAAACTTAAAACTACCACTATCTTCATTAAAGTTAATTATTTGGGTTCAGTGATTTTACATGCATGATAAATTAAGATTATTCATTGAGTAATTAAATCCATTTTTCAGAATATTCATGTGTTCATATCTCTTGTGTGAATATTAATGTACATGTACTATGCAAAAGCCTTTCACCACCATATATACAGTACATACATGTATATATACTCCCTACAATCTCAAAAAAGGAAGGAATCTGTATATTAAAATATTCAATTCAAAAAGAGCATAAAAAGGTGACATTAATAGCATTGACTCCATTATTGTATCTCATATCAATTTAGTGATCAGTTTAAATACATTTGCAATTTAACTTGAACTTTTGTTGTGACAAAGACATGTTATAAGTTACCATGACAACAAATTAGGAGACATAAGGACTTGTAATGTTTTTGTAACATGTTGCTCTTAATTTTGTCAGAATTCATAGTTGTTAAATTACTTCCTCCATTTAATTCTTAGAATCAAAGTAAAGTTGACTACAGTTCTTAAAGTGCTAGTTTTTGCAATGTCATGATTGCTGTTGAACTGCTCTCTACAAACAAGGAAATAGAAATGTCAAAAATAAATTTTTTATTCGTCACTTAATTCCCCATTTGTGTATGATTCGTGAATAACTTGTATGTCATGTACCAATATAATGTTAGCAGAGAAAGTGAATGGAAATGGAACCATCATTTTAAGAAATAAAGGTATGATTATGATAATTATTTTGGCAAAATTTGATTAGATTAACTACAGAGAAAAATTAACATATATGGACTTTGAAAAACTTTTTGAGTGCAATTCATAAGAAGAAACTAAATACTGTAAAACATGTTGATTTCACATGTTTGTCTTGCTAATGTCTGCTTTTTTCTGATTCATGAATTTTAGAAATGAGAAATTAATAAATTTTATAATGGATAAAATTCTGAAATTGTGATTTTATCAATACGTAAATTCTTGGTTATTTTGAATAAGTGAAAAATAGCATGCTTGATTTCAAAATGTTTTACAGTAATGTAACTGTAATACCACAGGTGTTTCTATATAGAATCCCTTAATAATGACGTTGTATTTGTCTTATGGAGAAAATATGTAGAAGAATGTTTAATATTGAATCACATATTCTTACAAGTGAAGGTATGTCTTGTGATTTGCAGATATATTGCCCAGAAAATATGATGAACTCATGAGGAAGTAATCAAATAGAAAATGATATAAGAAAAAAACAATATCTTGACTCATCATGGATTGAAAATGGCTTAAAATGGCATGCTCTATTAATGAGCAGATAATTCCAAAAAGAGACCAGTCAGTGAAAAAGCTAATATCAATATTTGAAGAAAAATTTAAAGACAAAGCGGTAACTGGTCGTCAAAAGGAATATGACGAAATATCGAAAGAAGATAAACAATTGAGAGACACCTCTATTAATACTCCAACAATTGTCAAGCAAACAACCATCAACTACAATACTACAATTATTGGAGAAACTGTTAATGTTGGTATTGGCCAAACTAAGGAGTCAGATATTGACAGTGGTTTTGTATTAGCTAATGAAACTCCGTCTGGTGACAGTAATGAAGAACACAACTTTAAAACATCACATGTAGAGAAAAAATTGGATGAATTCAAAGGAGCAGATGGTGTCATATTAAGGAATAAAAGAGATGACAAGGTTGTAAGAGAGGAGCTGAGTCGTTCTGAACCACCTCTGACTGATGTTGATTCAACTGAACTTGGTAGAAAAACAACAAATTCAAATGTTGATGATGAAATAGCCCTTGGCAGACGGAAGATTTTGATTGCTATGTCAATATTGCGTGATAAAAAGGAAAAAGAAAAGGAAAAAACAAAAAACAAACCCTTTAAATTGTTTGGATCTCTGTTAAAAAAATCCAATCCATAAAATGAATTAGAAAAATAGAATAAAATAACAAGAATTATATACTAGGATAAAGGTGAGTGCATTTGTGATGCCTTTCGGAGCAACGAGCGTAGAATTTAACAATATTGAAGGGCCTATCATTATTCATCCCGAATCAAACATAAACGATGAAACATTGATCAGAGAATTGGGGATTGAGGTCCATGAAATAACCAAACTTGCTGTTATTTTCGCCATTTATAGGGATGATGTCAATGTACAAGATTATAGATTCCCAGATGATTGAAAAGATGCATGGTTCTTCATGTATGCAGAATTAGAGCACAGTTATGCTGTATTCTGATTGGATGAGAAATTCAATTAGAGAACGGTCATGTTTGAAAAAACTATAAAAGGTTAATACCATACAGATCTGATTGTTTGTCAGTTGAATTTTGCTTTAAAAACATTTTATTTGTGTACAAATGGAACAGTTATAGTAAAATTAAGCTATTTACCATCACTATTTATTATAGACATATACTGATCTTGAAAGACTAAAATGATTAACTTAAAAAAAACTGTTCTTAGACAATGCTATGCAGTGAGAGACTTAGAATTGATATGATGCAATGCAGATATGGCTAGCCTTGCCCAAGTCGGTCTCTTTTACTTATGTTGATTTCTATTATGACCGCCTTGTACCAATGAGAAAGCCACGTGCTAAACCGACTCATTGTTTATGTCGGTAAATTTGACCAATCAACGACGGTCCTGCAGCATTAGCTCATTATTATGCACGATCAAGACAAATACACTTTTCACGAACAAATCCTCCGGCAAATGTTGCACAATTCATCATGAAAATACAAATATTTTGTCAGATAAATATCAATCAGAGTTTAGTGGATGCATCGATCGAATACCCAGAGGTGAGAAGATTTCAACAAGAAACGTTGAAAAGATAGTAATTCGTAGATGGGTAGTTTGCTTTGTTTAGGTGGGTAAACCTGAAAACGTTTTGATTGGTCAATCAGCCTGAAGTCACACGTTGTGTCCATGCTATCTTGCCAAACAATAAGGTTTCGCGATACCCCTGACAGTGTAGGTATTATGGAAATCTCGAAACCACTGAATAACTTATAACATCAGCGATGATGCATTAGATTGTACAAGGCGGTAATAATTCAAGATCAGGAAAAGTAAAAAATAACCGACTTGGGCAAGGCTAAGATATGGCCAGTATTGTTATCCCATCGAACGAAGTTTGGAGGGATATAGGGAACGCCTCCATCCGTCCGTCCGTACGTCCATCCGTCCGTCCGTATGTCCGTCCGTCCGGGCAATAACTCAAATACCGTTGGTCTGATTTTGTTCATATTTTGTACACATATACCCTATGGGAAAGAAGTTCTACTCGAAAGCCGATTTTTAAAATGGCCACTCATTTAAAAATGGCAGCCATTTTAGTGCCGATTTTACGGTACTTTAGGTGCAATAAGTAAAACTGTAATAGCAATATGTTTTAAATGTAAAAATATTATATAGGACGCTAATAAACCTAGAAATGTAGATATTAAAGAAACACATGGCAGCCATCTTGAAAAAAGGCGGCCTTTACTCGTTATTTTACGATTTTTTTTACTATAGCTCGAAAAGTAGTGGAGGGATTTTGTTCATATTTGGTATGTGAATACTATAAGCATGGCACACTGTCTAATGACACTTTTGGTACAAGGCGGCCATTTTGAAAAATGGCCACCATTTAAACGTATTTTACTATTACTCGAAAAGTAGTGGAGCAATTTTGTTCATATTTGGCATGTGAATACTATAAGCATGACACACTGTCTAATGACACTTTTGGTAGAAGGTGGCCATTTTGAAAAATGGCTGCCATTTTTTCTATATACTTTGTTTGTAAATATGCCAGCCATGGCTGTTCAATGGGATTTGCTACGCTTTGGCGTTGCTGTTGTCTAGTTGATTTAGGGCATTGGTAAATAAACTATAAACACTATTCCAGTAATGTTCCAGTATGAATGTGCATGAACATTTTAGACATCAAATGAATTTTAATGTGGTAGTGATGTGTACAAAGTAATATTTATTCTGAAGAAACAGCATATTTATGTGTATAATAATGCAATACTGATAAAGAAACTCACCAATTATGTCAACATTTATAGATGCAGTATTGTTTTATTCCTTTTTGAAAATATACAAAACAGTATTCATTGGTGTGCAATGAATCTTGCTCATTTTCATGTCACCACCAAAAGTGTTGACATATTGTCTCTATTTTTGTGACGGCGGTTGGCATCGTGCAGTCAGCATCTGTAACTATAACAAATGACATGTGGTGAAATTTTGAATGTTAATGCCTTGTTTACAATTGTTGCCAGCTGAGCTGTCAATGTTAGACATGAAATGTTTATTGTGTTCATATTTTCTTTGTATTGGATAGTTCTCATGAGACAATGAGAAGTTAAATTTCGTATCTCATATTAGTAAGAAAATAATAATGTAAATAATAAATTTGTTTCCCTTACATATGTACCACTTACCTGAAATATACTACATGTTTTTACAGATAGTCAAGTATTTTATTCAAGAGTTCAAGGAATCTAATGGTAAATTGTTAGGCCATGTATTAATTAAATGTTTAGATTTTTGTATAAAGCAAGTTATGAGGTAATATACTCTATAAACAGAGGTTATTTGATGGGAGGGGTGGAATATGAATATGATATTTTCCGAGGCCAGTATCATATTTTCTCGGGGAAAAAATTCATATTTCATCACAACCATCAATAATCTATTTATTCCATAATGTTTTTTCTGAACTTGTTCATTTTCCTGTCCTGTTTTGACTGTCATCACCCAATGATGCCGACATACAATGATACAATACCAGTTATCATTTATCATTTTCAACTTTAATGAACAAGTTTTAAAATAGAACGAACAAAATCAAAATAAATCCGTAGGAAAAGTTCTAATACAGTATCTGATATTGGATTTTGGCTGATATGGGATTCAATATAAATCCAAAACATGTTATTATGGAATAAATCACAGTATTTGAATTTATTACAGGGTGACCTAAAAAATTGAACTTTTCAATGGTGTAAATGGTGTTTTGAAATGGTGATATACGAGGGTTGCTTCAAAAGTTCTGCACCGCTTGATCTAAAAATCTCAATAAAAATACCCTGCTGTCACGGTGCTATGGTAACAAGACTCCTGTGTTACTGGAGTTGTTAGTTGTCATGGTGCTATGGTAACAAGATTCCTGTGACCAAATTCATGGCTTATTTTTACACAAAATAAAACTACTATTCATGGGGTGGCTGAGGCCAAATATGAAAAATATTTATAGACTATTGAGATTTTTAGAGCAAAGGGTGCAGAACTTTTGAATCAATCCTCCTTCAAGTACTAATGATTAGCATCAATGACTGAGATTTAGAAAAAATCTTGTTCTCCATCGTGCCAATTCACCAAAAAGCAAGTTATGTGTCTTAGTCTTTATTTATGTTTCAAAAAAGAGCAAGAATTACTAGGTCAGCATAAATCTTCTGCAAAAATGAAGATCAAGAACTATACAAGTTGTAGAACATTGAGAAAAGTTGGTTAGAAGCCCACAAGCAGTTCTTCCTCTGTTAGATGAGGTTTATGTAGACATTGATCCACATCGCAATATTTTATACAGACAAAAATAGGATTTAGTTATTGTTAACTAATCTGATGGCCACTTTGAGGCATCAAGGAGTATTGCTTGTGAATGATATTCCCTAAATAAAACAAAATGTTTGTATAGGATCTTTCATTCTATTAGGATATGCAATTCATTTACTTTTAGGGCATTTGTTATATTATGTTTTATTATCGAACTGTAAGACTGACTATTATAAATAAATAAATAAATAAACTAAACTATATTCTATTTTATATTCTGCTGTTGTCTTCTATGGAAGGGGAACTTTTGTTAAACTAAGTTTCACTACTACTATATTTCACGAGGCTTGCTTTATTTTATGTCTCTTGATTTTCATTATATCTGTCCTTTTTACTCAACAGTCATTAAACACTTTTGAACCATGGACTCATTTTCTCAAAATCTTTGTTTATAGCCATATACATGTACTTTTGTTAGTGACCTTTTTATTTTTACTTTTTGTGGGAATGACTCATTTGCGCCAAGATCTCTATCTTTATGGCTACTCCCAATTCTGTATATTCCAAAATGGCTACCATGCAAGTACGCTGATGTGAAAATGTCATAATTATTGTATGCAGAAAATATATTTGATCGGGATTTTGTTGCTCCCTTTTCCAAATCTTTGTTAACCCTTTTAGAGGTGGGCCAGATTTACCTCTATAAATTATCAAGACTGCAACATAATCATCTACATGATTGTTTACTTCAGTGCCAGCATGGGCATAGCGCTATATTTCTAAGTAGTACGCCACCACGGGAACAGGAGTTGAGTAAGGCAATAAACGAGCATTTAGGGGGTCTGGGCAGGAAAGTTTTGAAATTTACTTGTATTTAGAGCAGTTGCAACCATCTGGTACGCCTGTGTGTACCGGGCGCTACGCCTATGGCCAGTGTACAATCCATTAGTTTGTACCATCAATTTTTTTTGTATATAGCACTATTTCTTCATTTTGAACATTTCAATTCAACAGAAAATAAGTTGACTGCGATAATTGTCAAGTATATTTCAAGATTGAGTTTTTAAGTATGACTTCAAGCATATATTATATTCTTAAAACAATGATATCAGATATTATTATGACAAATAAGAAACCTATTAGTAATTGATTTAAAGATGACTCATCTTAAAAAGAATAAATATATCTGGCCTGATTATCATATTTGCTAGGTATAAAAATCTGTTGAAGCTGGTATACATGTTCACATGTTTTTGTACCTGGGTTAAAATCAGTTCTTCTTATTCACATAGGAAGTGTTCCTAATAGATCATTGCCTTGAATATTGGGTACTTATCTTGACATTCATCATCTTTAGAAGAAAGCGTCATTGAATTACCAAATTTTGGTGACTCATAATCTCTATAAATTAAAGTTCTAATAATATGAAACAGGAAGCGATGATATGGTTTTGGCAAACAGGAACATTTTTAATGGGAGTAAGACCGTTTTGAATAATGAGAAATGAAATATATTAAATAAAATAGTTATATTGAAGTAATAGTATGTGTCACGTTCTCGAGTGGATTTTTATTTTGTTTGCAGTAGATTTATCAACTCCTATTTCAATCAAAGATGCCTCATTCATAAACATGGAAACAATAGGTTTGAAAACTTTGTAAACTATGGCAAACTCAATGGATGAAAACTATGCAAATGCAGATTTGAAAAAGAAAGAAACTCATCAAATTGACACTAGTAAAAATACGATCACCATAAAAGCGGAGAATGTCTACATTTCGGGCAATAAGCATAATATTAGCTCATCTTCTTGTATAAGTATACATTGTGGAGATAGCGAATCAAACTCTGAGTTTGTATTAGAGAGTAGTGATATATCTGATGACAAAAATGATGACACGATAAATTTCTGTCAGCCACAATTTAAAGAACCACTAAGTCGTTCGACCTTTTATGTGCCAACTCCAAATGAGGACATAGTTCAGTTAAGGTTGGATGGCATCCCAAAGACTAAAAGAACAGATATAGCGAAATCAGATCCTCTTCCCAAAAAGTCTGCTTGTGAACATGTCCCTAGTGCTAGACCAGCAAGCTCTCCTAGTGGATTGATTACCAAGGTTAAGAGTGTAGTGCATGGGAAAAGTGGCTATAAACAAATGGATAAATAAAAAGTCTCATTTTATGCCAATAAACTAAGACTGAAAAGTATCCTATTTATGGAGGTGTTCTTCTTGGAAACATACGAAACGTACATATTATACTATGCATAAGGGTCATAAGGTGACGTTTAAAGACTGAACACAAGAACTTTACTCTGAATAACTTGAAATGATAGGTGGATTGTATTTAGAAGGCCAGTGACAGATGAAAAATACACAAGTGGTCTACTTGAATTATTGTATTTTAAATACATCTTCTGAAGGGATGATATATTCTGTATTTTATGAGAAATCATTGGATAATGTAATTTTATAGTACTATACTATGTTCTTAGAATCTTTATCTGTAATAGTGGTATATCGATAAATAAATTGGATTTATCAATTGTGGCTGATGGACGGATACAATACAGAGAAGCATGTAACATTTTACATCTCAAAACTTGTCTGTCCTTATCAATGAAATCAATGCATGGCATGTTTTTAAGGATGTGTCTAGATCATGAACTATACTCAACATACTCGAATGACATACTGGCCAATATTCATATGAACATCATATTCTATATTAGGGGCCTACTACTTCTATGTGATCATATAGCATCAGATATTCAATATTGAAAAAGTGTGATAAAAAGAACCGTATAAGGAGTTTACTTATATAGTATACACGGAAGTTTTATATTTCAATAAAATTATAATAGATTTATAAAATGTTTTAGAACATATAGACTGTTTTGTTATTATCCCATGAGATGGATATAGAGAAGCCATCCATCTGTCTGTCCATTCATTTATTCATCTGTCCGGGTGATAACTCAAACTCAGTTGACAGTTTTGGTTAAAGAGTTCGAGTTGGGATATAGAAAAATGAAAAAGCAGTCATAGATTTTGGTTAATGTCTTATGGGCAAAGGATCTCTGCTCATGAAGGCATTTTCAATATGGCTTCTCATTTCAAAATGGCCATAATTTTTCGTAAAAACTAATCTTAGATAACTCAAATATCGCTTGATAGATTTGGTTCAAATTTTTATATGCCACTGCCTCTGCTCAAGAAGGAAATTTCATGAAAGCTGTTCATTTAAAAGTGGCCGCCATTGTTCATGATAAAAATGTAATATTTAATAACTCAAATTCCAGTTGATGGATTTATTTGAGATTTTATACGCTGATGCCATAGGGACATATCAATCTGCTCAAGAAGGTATTTCCATGGTGACTGCTGAATTCAAAGTGGTTGCCATTTCTCAGGAAAAATCTCCCTAGACAATTTACCTGGTAACATAAATACCACTTTGATTTGTTCTAAATATTATACCCCAATGCCTTATGATCATAAGACTTCTACTAGAGAAAGAATTTATAGTATGGAATCAGGTCACTTCATCATTGTAGATTTTGCAGAAATAAAATTACTCTACTGCTTCCTGGTTATTTTTCTATTCTGGTATGTTTATTGAGGGAATTGATAATATATTGTTCGGTGGGATTTGCTACTCTGGGAGGCTGCTGTTTTCTAGTAAACACTTCAACTCAAACGAGAGCACTATTTGAGTGGATTGACTGGTTTTGCTGTTGATTTGCTGAAGACAGGGTTCTTTCCTTACATCTATATCATCACGTGTGTGAGAAAGTATGAAGTCAAATAGAGTAGTAGTACCATATGAGTGCCATATTATTTTACAATCAGGTGTTTTTATTTATTGAGATTTGTCCCTGTAAGAGGTGTACCATTGGCAGGTTTTACTGTACAAGGAAGTAATAAACTATAATTATACTATGAATTTGCAAAAATCTTGTCGACATTTACTGTTACGCTAGAGTAGTACGAGACATACAATACCAAAGATGTTTTTGCTGTAGAAATTTATTCATATAAGAAAATAGAATCTGTACAAGAAATATCACAAAGATATGCAACATGTAGCTATAATGTAGTAATTGTGATATCACATATCAAATGAGAATTACAATTATAATTCATTCTAAATATAGAAGATAATAAAAGGCTTTCTTTGAATATGTTTGTTCTGTATTTAATTACATAACTTATGGAAAGGCTAATGTTTTTAAACAACCTATTTATATAGATCTGATGATGTTCCAACAACCTTCACCAATTATAAATAATTAAGATTTACAGGAACTCACTAATCTCTGATCTACTGACCGACCTGATGAATCTGTTATATTACGAGTCATTCAATTTATTGATGTCAATCAATGTAATATTGTCAATCAATATATTAATGTCAATCAATATATTAATGACTCATACAAGAGTCAATCAAATATTAATGTGCTAAAATTGCAATGCTTTGTGAATAAGGCCTCAGATGAATCTGTTATATATATATATGAGTCATTCAATTTATTAATGTCAATCAATATTTTAATGTCAATCAATATATCAATGATTCAAATAAGAGTCAATCAATATACAAGTATTAATTTGCTAAATATTGCAATAACTAAAGAAGCACATTATACTGACTGTCATATATGTTGATGTTATATATTTTCATGCAAAATGTTCACCATCTGGGTTGACCATGTGAGGTGTACTTTGATTTGATACTAGTCCAAAGACATTCCCCTCCATTAAAAACATCATTCTCTCAGTCCTTATTTCAACTTTCTCTGCCGATTGTCTCACATATGATCTTGGCATTTGCCTCACATATGATCTTGGCATTTGCCTCACATTTGACTGACTGCTTGTGCTGTTTATTTCCTGAACACAGAGTTCTTTTCTCACATCTGTAGACATGATACAACTTTCAACAGTTTCTTGTCCTACAGTATTTCTTTGTGTTTCTACAATGGTTATGTTTTGTCGGGTAGGTTGAAAAACCTTTGTTTCCTCTGTCTTGACATTAGCAGTGTGGATGACACTTCGCGATACTTTTATATTGGAAATCTCACTCATGTCATTAGATATTTGCTTCTTTTTCTTTCTTATTACCTTTGTTCTGGAAAATGGACTTATTTTATCAAAGTCATCATCACTGTCAAAGATTTGACTGTTTTCGGTATCTGTCACTTTGTTTTTCTTTATAGTGCTAACATGTTTCCTCTTCAGCTCAACAGTGTTGTTCATGTCATCTGTAATACTCTCTGAGAAAGTGTGGATTTTTTGGACCATATGAGTGCCATAATTAGCAGTCTGTTGTTCTTTATTTGTTGTTGGTGTTGCATCAACATGGTTTTGGTCAGCAGTGGCAGTCTGTAGAAATGTTTTCCTTCTACATACAGGTTTTCTTTCAGGGCTTTCTCGTACAAATGAATTCTCTGAGCTCTTTGCTGACTCATGACGAAGATTTGGATCAGATTTTGCACTATTGGGTGCAGTGGGAATATTGGCAGGCAGTGGCATTGGTGGTCTTTTTTGTACTCTGAACATATCTCTAATATTTTGTTTCGTTGAAGTATCTAGATTTTCATATAAGGGCGTATTATGATTGATTAGTTTTATTTGGCTCATTGGCCTAACCTTGTTTGTTATCCTTTTAATTAAATATTTTCTTGTTGGACTTTTGGAGTCTGTTGGAGATGTTTGCTTTCCACTAATCACTGGGAAGATTTTTGTTGAAGGAGTATTCATGTGCTGAAAATTCCCTCCATATGTATATGGTAATTCTTCATAATGCTCTTCATTCTCATCTTCATATCTTGTATTGGTTGGCATCGGTTGGTTTGTAAATGAGGAATCTGAAGTGACCTCACCCTTGTCTGCCAATATGATACCAGCCCTACTTTTGTCAGGTGAATTTTCATCATAGCTATTTTCATATTGTGTTGGCTGGTTTCTGATATTTTCTTCTTCTTCATTATGCAGTTCTTCTTTCAATTCCCTTGATTCTTCTTCAGAAAAATCAGAACTTTCGGAATCGGAGTCAGAGTCTTTGTATTTATAAGGTAATATTATTTCTCCATTGTTAATGTTTAAATTGAAGTATGTTTTGTTAGTTTTTGTAAATTGAGAATCTGAATTTTCTTGGTGGGCAGTGACCTTATCCTTGTTAGGCAATATAGTATCAGTGTCTCTTTTGTCACTTTTCTCATTCCTGTCTGAATCTTCAGATTCAGAATCTGCAATTCTCAATGTGTCATAAATGGACTTGGGTTCATATTTTTCAGTAGTATCTGAAGAATGTGGGTATATCACTTCATATTGTGTGGTGTTTGAACCTGAGTCAGAATCTAATTGTGAGGAACAATTAGAATCCGAGTCTGCATCTTTTAGAGAATCTTGATGTGGTAATAATATGTCTCCATTATTTTCTTTTTCATTGTTTGAGAACTTATATTGATCATATTTCGCAAGGGCCTTGCTGTTTTCAGCAAATATGATATCAAATTCACTTTTGTCAGCTGAAGTGTCATCATAGCTATCTGAATCTTCAGAATCATTTGGAGATATTACTTCTCTGCTATTTTTGCTTACATGGTCATCTGTGACTATTGATAATAAGTCCATGGACGCACCATGCCTCTCACTTTGATCAGAGACTGAAGGTTCAGTTGCTGTATCTGACACAAAATTTGTTCTTTTATCAACTGTTTGTACATACTTCATTTGATACATATATGGTAAACTGTCTTCATCACCATGGCTTGAAGGATTCAAGATGTCATTTCGATTGTTTAGAGCAATGTAATCAGTTGTGATGATTGATTGTAAGTCAACATGATCATTTGGGTTCTCACTTTCATCCCTTGAAGGTGGTTCTGCAGCTACACTTGTGACCCATTCTTCTGTTCTGTCTATTCTAGAACAAACCATCTTTGATTCTTCTCTCTTAATGTTAATGTAGGTAGACTCTGGAGAAATAGGTTGTACACACCTTTGAGTTATGCATCCTGCAGTTTGTTTTCCATTTGTGATCTTACATTTTAATTCTGTCACTTCATTTGTCGGTTCAATGGATTCTGACTTTTGTTTAATGTCCTGTCTTACCAATGGTTGTACTTTAGTATTACTTTCATCAGTATCACAAATTTCATCGAATTTATTTTGATAATGTATTATTTTATTGTTATTTCCATTTATATATATATTATATATTTTGGGGCGACGTACAACTTGAGAATCAGGAATAGCTTTGTCACCACTGTCATTTGATTTACTTGTATCTTTTTGGTTTGTGTCACCATTGTCATGTGATTCACTTGTGGCTTTTTTGTTTATGTCACCATTGTCATTCAATTTACTTGCTTCTGTTTTGCTTGTAAGTCTTTTTGTGAAAACCTCTAATATTGGTTTTCCAATATATCCAACCATGTTTAAAATGTTATGTGCCACAACAAAAATCGCATCTACTACCCCACGCCACATAATGAATCTGCAAAATCAAGGATGGTATTATTGAAGAGATTTTCAAAAAATGATTAAATTTAATTCAATCCTTCCCCTGTCAAAGGAAAGAGATTATGAATTATTACTGATTTGTCTTAACTAGCAGGTTATCCATTGAGAGCATATCCTTGGGTATACAACATGGTTAGACATTAAAATCACAAAAACCTGAGATTAACATATATTATTGAATGACAGTAAATATTCAAAGAGCAAATTGAATGTAAAGTTAATAGATGTAATCACATATTACTGCCTACTTTAAGTTTTCTGAATTTTGTTGAAATCGAGCATAAGTGATCTTTTATACTTCCTTGTTTTTTTCTTGCTATAAAATATCTTATACCTCTGATGACGTTATAAGTATGATTGTACATATTCATCTTAAACCTTTGATCCCACTGCATCTTATATCTATTTAAGTGAGTTATTTACCTGGATGGTCAAAAATAATGGTCTTAAAAACATTCGAAAAAACAAAATGTTGACATTACTCACCTTTATGCTGACGTATTCAATGTTAATTCGCCTGTTTTATGCGAGTGATACTAGCTCAATTTCCAAAACATAGATTCATAACGTTTGTGTAGTTAATGCATAGTTCATTTCATAACATATTTATTCATATCTCATTGTTTTAGCCAAAATGTCCCATAAGGTGTAAGATATGTGCTGCCATTTATGAAATCGTCAGATAATTCCCATTTTTACTTGTTTAGGTCATAGTGATTTTATAGTGTTTTATATCCCCGTTGATGTCAAAAGACGTAAAATTCAAGTATTTTATTTGGACAAGTAATATTGCAAGCTTTTTGCTTCTATTCATTCAAGGTTGTTTATGAAAATTCAGGGTCTTCCCCTTTAAAGTACAACTTGAAGGTTTTACATTTTCATACCAAATTTTTGTAAACACTTCTATATGTCCAACAGATTTTATATTATATTTATGTTACTTCATAAAATGAATTACTTAATATATGTTACAATGTTATGATGGAAATAGATTTCCATATACTAAATAGAATGCATCAATCCATTCAGATTTAAAATAAGCTGTTAAATTGGTTGCTCTTATCTCTGATTCTTGCTTTAAATGATATGAAGATGTCCTAACATCTTTGGTACTTTTTTGACCCAAGGGCTAGCCTCTGGGAAAAGACCAATATCGTGCATTATGTAACAAGCCAGATACCGATAAAGAAAAAGTATCTTAATTCAATGTTATATTTGATCAATGAACTTAAGCTCTACCAACTGAGGTACCTTAAATTCAGTTAGTGTAGCTGTCAAATGGGTATCCTATCATATTTCTTAAAAACTGAAAGCTTGATATAAATGTGCTTTATGTTGTATCTGCACAACTGATACAAATATTTTATTGGAAATGAAATAATTTAAAAGATGTCAGTATGATATACCACAAATGTAGTCTTAGTGCTATAAAATTCATTGAAATTATTTGTAGGATAATTGACTTTTTGGTTTAGCTCAGTAACAGGTGGTTTACAATCACTTATACAGCAGACTAAAGTAGAAAAATTACAACACCCATTATTTAGTAATAAGTCCTTTCAGAGGATGAAATCATTTTGAATTTACTAGTAACTGTGCCAAATGTAATAGATAAGTGTGTGTCCAGTGAGGGTTGACTCCCAGCATTCTTTCTCAATCTTCTTTTGACCGGCATTAACCATATTGGTAATGATATTTCAATATTGTTCATCTCCAAACCAATCATTCAGTTGGGTGATGAACATTATACATGTAGTAATATTATTACCAATTCAGTCCATGGCAATCAAAGAAAGTTTGTTAATGAATTCTGGTAGCAAATCCTCCCTTGTATGTATCTAGCCAAACACTGAACTTTGATTTACAATGCCATTTTAAACTTATTTCATGAATTCTGAGTTGAAAACACTTCATATTATTAGAAAATGTTACCTCAAGAGAAAAATGAAAGTACCGAAACAAGTTAGTGTGGCAAGCTATGACCTTTCTTACTCGCCATTAAATTTTAAACTCAAAGCACCATTTAGGAATATAACAGTACCTAAATGCTCAGTTGATACATATAATTTGATTGTATTAATATTTAGTAATCAAAAGCAACCCTTTACATTTTAAAACCTCTTCTGTTTCTAGGAATATATGGGTTAATTTGACCAAAAATGGAGAATAGACGAGTTGCCAACTGGTGACATTCGTTCAGTGACAACACTTCACTTCTCAGTAATCTTGAAAACTTGTTTTTCTTTAATTCAAGTTGAATTTTATCTCTATTCATCTTCATTGTTTAGTATAGATAAACAGATATATTTATAGACAGTCGGAACGTTGCTAGACATACTCATTTGGCTCAGTGTCCTACAGTTGCTGGAACCCCTTATTCAGTTCACTCATGCATTGTACATAAGGCAAGGTGCATCATCTTTTTCATAGTTCAATAAAGAAGTACTTTGGTAAGGGAATTTAACATCTGAATTGGAGAAAAATAAGAGGATTTTTAGAAAATGTTGTGGTAATCCTGTATAGATGTTTGCCTAAAATAAGTTCTCTGTACTGCATTTTACATGGAACTGCTTACGTCTATTAAGTGACTTTGAAGTAGTTTAAGTGAACAGTTTAAGAAACTTTAGGAAGTCATGTATCCATGTTTCATTTTACATTTTTATTATCCAAATCAAACCATTTAAAATTATGAATTGCAATTGGTTTACAGTTCAGCAAAGTTCCATTGTTAATAATCAAATGCCATTTGATTTTGTTTGGAATATAACTATCAGTTGAAACTATTGGTGAAGATATTTGTACATTAGGACCACCTTTTAGAGATAATATACAAGGAGTGATCAATAAGTAATAGACCCTTTTTTACAAAGGTGGTTTTTATTGACCAATCTCTTACTGCATGTAGGTAAGATCATACTAGTAATTGATCTCACACATTCAAAATATACCATGAATTATGTTAGACCTGCTTCAGGCCATTGTGACCCCCTTACACACCCCACCCCACAAGCCAGATGTGAATTGGAAGTAGGAAGGATAGGGGGCATAGACTTAATGCCAACCCTTTATCTTGAGAATTCCTGTGTAAATAATATACTTTGCTTGGTACAAAAATAAAACTGATTTCCCAATACAGCAAGGACTAATTGAGCTCTTGTGTCTTTTACTCCCATCGTGGTAAGCCACGCCCTCTCCATCTCTATCCTTCTGGATATCTGCGATGCAACAGAGAGAGATGCTATGAGTATCAGATTGCTTTTACTCAGGATGTGATTGAATCTCAAAAACATATTTCTGATGAACATATAAGCCTCTTACACTCTATTTTTAAGTTTCTTGATTATTTGTTTTATTATTAATTGCAGGTAGCTATCTTAAAAAATACTATGTCTGAACTAAAACATTTAGGAGCATTTATTAAAAGTTTTGCACTTAATTTTACACATAATCTCAATTTTGACCATAGGAAATTGATAAATGTATAATTCAGTGTGAAAGTTTTGAGACATTACATTATACAATCGTCATGTACAAAATGAAACATCATGTACTAATATGGTAGGTTAAGTATATTAATTTGAAGTGCAACAAGTAGCAAAAATGACAAATAATGTAGTAGCATTTCAGGTAATGTGGATGGGTCTTATCAAAATCATGTTCAACAAGAAATCCTGATTGGTCAGATCTTGACAGGTGACTGGTACAATGGTATCTGGGGCCTGACCTGTTTCTTAAAGAATATGTGATTTGAGACAGTATTGCTCGATGACAAGGAGTTATCTCAAGTGGAAGCTTCGTCTAAAGTCCTGTGACTTTATCGCAATATCTGTCATTCATATTTGCATTCTACTCAATTTATTTCTTTACAGTATTTGAGTTGCATAGTTCTATCGCTATCAGGGGACTTTGAGCCAAGTTGATAACATACTGGACCAGTCCAGATAACACTATAGGGATCACAGACCCTTGTTTCAAACCCTAAAATCCTTAATCTGTGTGATAAGAAGCCACAAGTAATGTGTGAGAGACTCGTAGAGATAGGCCCCATTATGGGCTCGTCCCGAAGCCACATTGTCCAACACTACTTGAAAGTGCAGCCATCTGATTGGTCGACACCTAGCCTCTCACCCCTATATATGATATTGAGCAGTGTGTAGATATCATGAGTAGCTGACACACAGCAAGCCAGTCAGTCAGACAAGAGGAACAACCTAGATGAGCATCACCTTGGACCTACAGACAAGAATACCTGGGATCCACCCCCTTGGGATCTCAATACAGTGATACAATAGTCACTATCATGTGTACAAAAGAGGACAATATAGACACATATAAATTCTACAGGACATTTGCTAGAGGTGTTGCGAAGATACTGCTCAATTTATGCTCATATATAGGGGTGTTTATTGCGATAGTAGTTTGGTGGGCGTCACTAATCAAGATGGCTGCCATGTCCAGTTGCGCTGGAAGGTTTGGTCTAAGCATACATTTATTGCCAGATCTAACTCTTCCAGCTCAGCTTGACAGGTCTTTACACACAATTACAGGTGGAATGTATGACACAGGTAAATCACAGGTAAATCTAAGGTGAACAGGTAAATTTTGGGCAATAGTATAACAAGTAACAAGTAAACAGGTTCATCTGAACAATTAAAGATGGCACTACTGTTAAAACTTGAAGCATCATTTAAAAAGTATCAATTAAATCCAATATTTCAGTTAGTCAATTCAAATTAATGCAGGAACAACCAAAAGTAATTTATATTAAGACAAATCAAAAATTTTATCTGAATTCAAATGAAATGACAGTGCTCAAATCATATTATCAAAATTACTCATTATACAAATTTGACGCTTAAATGTGGTGGTATTAGTCATTTATCATCTTGTTAGATTTGATAATATTAGATGAATCATTCAAGAATTAGGTAACTCAACATTGGTAAGTTATATGGCATGAAAATAAGGGATTTTAACACTATTAATTCACAAAATTAATTTAGATTGCATCATTGTATGCAGTTAAAAAGCAAAAAGTGTCAAGAGTAGCAAATTATTTCAAATGTCAGCTTTGTACATTCTAGGGGTGGGGCTTGACACGATATATTGTTACTGATTAACTTGCGATTTTCAGAATTTGTAGCTATAATAGTTTGATCTAAAAACGTCTTAAAATTAACAAATAAAAATGGCGATCTTTGTACATATTTAATATTATCAGTTGACTCGGTGCTTGTTGCTAACGATCAAATTCAAAAGAGACACTTTCTCAATGTGGTCAGAGTCTAATTCGGTTCACGAAATAGCTAAATATTGTCTAGAATTAATTAGTCTGAGAGTTAAACATTTCAGTTTAAGCACAGGAATTCACTTGAGGCTTTCACTTGGATATCATTAAAAAGTGAAATATTAGTCCCCTTTTGGATGCAACTTGAACTTTGCTATTGGTTTTTAAACTTAATGACATGAAATTTTAATTTATGACTCCCACCTCTAATTTTTAACTCCGATAAGATTAAATTATCACATCTTACTAATATAACATTTATCAAGAGTTATTAAGAATGATTTTAAGATATATGTTCATACTGGGTGAATTCTAGAGTAAACACTTTGTTAACTTTTCAAGACATTTTTAAACAAATTATGACATGGGATTGTGAACTGGGACCCTGTAATCAATCACCAGTTAATGGCTTGTATTGGTAAAATTCAATTTTTCAATTGTGTTCTAAGATAGATATCAATGAAGTACGTGGGCTAACATTTTTGAATGGCCTCAGATATCATTTAGATTACAACGAACATTGAAAAGCATATTCTGAGAAATTCTATTTTGAGAAGTAAGATAGTAATTGATAAAGGGGTAACTGATTTTTTTATATTTATTTATCAAGTTATAGAGCTAGGATCCAGTAGGAGCAAACAAACATGTTCTTAGTAGAGGACTGAAGTGATATATGGTTTTAAGGATATTAGCATACTAGACCCTTATGTGTACAACAGTCAATGGAGTTAACACTAATACCAACAAAGCAAACAATGCGTATTTAACCTCATGATTACTCTAGGCTTTTATGTGCATTATAGTTGGGAATATCATTTAACGAACATATGTCTAACAGGTAGATTACCTTTCACTTGCCATTAAAGTTAGACTACATAGTGGACTACATTGTGGCTTCGGTACACATGTTAATCTAAGCAGTGAGATTTTGAATTCGCATTTTGGTTTCTTTTTACTAACTTGAAATTTAGGATTCATTTAAAATCATAGATTGGATGAAGGAAGGATACATAGTGAACTTTGATAGGTTTGATGAATTTTGAATGATTTTGAATGTTTTTTTTCATTAGTAAGTAAGGCAGGTTTTATATTTGACTTACATTCAGAATTGAGCAGTTATACAATATTGATTTCGGAAGATTTGAATAATTTTTATTGATTTACACTCTTAAGTTAGATTTAGATTTAGCTAAAAAAATTATAGACTTTGGAACATAAGTTAAAACATGAGAATTATAAATGGTTTTGAGCTGAGCGTACATCGAATTGTTTGCTTAGGTTGATATGTCATATTTGACTAGGGGTACAAATCCTTCACAGGTCTGTGGCCTATATCAGGTACTTCAGTGTCAAGTGATTCAAATTTACACGGCACAACACATGCTTCAAATCTAACAGCTATTGTTTCTGAACTAGTTAGAAGAATCACATGACCTAATTTAAGCCAATCAGATCAAAGGTCTTGTGATATGTGATAAGCGGTAAGGAGTGTTGAGTGTAATCTCAAGATTGAAGGTAGGAGTGGCAAATGACATGGGACAGAATTTACCGACTTTGAGTTAACTTTGTTCAATTCAGTTCAGATAGATTTGTGTCTCGGGGACATTGGTTCACTTTGACTGATAACACTAAGATTATTGTAGAATTGAAGATATGGAAGTTCATGTAGTTTGTTGGTATTTTGAACTATGACTTGGTGTAGCATGGTCACAGTGGAATTCAAGCTATTGGTGAGATAAGTACCATATATGATAGGAGTTTTCTATTGGAACATTGAATAATAGATAAAGATATAACATATAACCGAGCATTTACTGATATTAAGATATTGCCTGATGCTGATATTGATATTATTGAATTATTCTGGTCTTACTTTCTCTTTCAGTATTGCAACTTTTTAATTCTTTGACAAATTTTATCTGTAAACTGTAGACTTCTACCTGTTTAACTTATAAATGTAACCTGTGATTGAATTCAATACATATAAGATGCTGGATATCGCAAGCACTGGTAGGGCAGTGGAGAAGTCTTTATCTCGAATCGTTATATTAACAGATGAGATTCAACTCCTCCAACTGCCAAACCAATGCACATACAACAACCAGGAGCATCTTACACAACAGGGAGCAGCACAAACAAAATGGAGCAACTGAAATATCATGTTTATCACATTATTCAACAAGATTTGGACACCAAGCAAATAGTGGACATTTTATCAAGTTTGTCTGTTATGGACATTACATTATCTATTACAGATTTTTTTCAATCTTTACAATATCAAAATAAACCTCTCACTTGGGGTATTTAAAGTATATATTTGTTAATAACTTCTGGTATGCGGTTACTTTTGTATTGTACTGTAATATAGAGAAAAGCTGCAATTGTAATTTCATGTAACCGCAAAATGAAACTGTCTGGTTTTTACATGTAGGTTGATTGTTCAATATCTAGACTTGATTGCGAATTAGCCGATATATTGAATCAAATATGAACATTTCAGTTACGAGGGTCCAAAGTACTATATTTTGGAGCACACTTATCTTGTTCAAATATGGCACTCAAGATACTGGTATACTCAACATGCATGTAGATAGAGGACAAATTACTTGTACATGTATATTTTGGGCTTAATAAATGTTTGAAACAAAACTTGTATGTTTGTGTGGTTGAATGTGTAGTATGGTAGCAGTATTGTACTCTCTTTTGTCTATATTGTACTTTCTTCTTTCCATATTGTACTCTCTTGTTGTAAAGATTGTGCAACCCCCTGTATAATTCCCACTTATGTTGAGGCTATGTAATCCCTCAATAAAGTAGCCCATCAACCTTATCCCAGTGTCTCCTTAAGGAGAAGTTATTTGTCCAAATTATATATGTCCCCAACTTTGAGACTTCAACCTGTGTCCAAAGCTCTCAATATAGAACACAGAACTAACTGTGATGTGTGCTTTACTGGTATTTATATTTTCTTTGTTTGCCTAATTTTTCTCTAATATTACTTTATTCAAAAATCTGAAGTCCCTACAGCTCTAGTTCTTTACAATGAATATTAAAAAAATGTCCAATAAAATAAAACATACTAAAGTACATCTTAAATTCTGTGTATATTGTATCGTATATCAGTCAGTCATTCTGTGAATATTACAGGTATATGTTTATATTAGAATAGCAAAATGATTTTACTGAAAGGCATTATTCAGAGGAGCTTATTTTTTAGGAAAGTTTCCTAAGGGGGACATAACTAAATGCTATAAAATGCATTTTCCCATACAAATGATCTGTCTTTTTGAGAAAATTATGATTTGTGTCCATGTTTAACTATCATGCAATCATAACCAAGTATGTCCTCTGTCATTCAATAAAGTTTCAGTCAAAACTCCCCACGAAAATCAGAAGATCTTACCTGTTGAATATGCCATCAATAGAAAATGTCACAAATTGTCATTATGATATTGAGAGATGGAAAAGGGTCAAATTTTTCAAAGAAAATGCACCTAATCATATCAAATCACGTGTTGGGACTAGACCAAAATCAAACCACTTGTGATGCTGATGTAATTACAATAACTTGACTATATTCCAGAAAATATGTCCAGTAAAGTAAAATATTATCTGTTAACACAAAAAAATATTTAACTTTTTGTGATTTTATAATATGGGGTCTTTGGGGAATCTACTCTATCTAGAAGTCAAACCACATTTCTAGATGTAATTTTACATGAAGACTTAAAATATGATATCATTTGACTAAACTTTGAATATACAATATAAATCAAGATTATTTCTACATCTTGCATCAAGTCGATATTTTGGCAGTCATGTCAGATTTTTATCATTTCAATATAAAGATGTCACTGTAAATAGACATCAAGTCTGTGACAGTTGGGGTTTATCCAGGGCCGGGGTATGCTTTATAAGGTGATTGTGACCAAAGAGGTTTTGGCATTCCATCTATCTATCTGAGGGTGCCCTTTATTACTATATTATTATAGTCACTGCCACTGATCACTGATGTTAATATCATCTCATTATTAAAGAGATTAAAAATCAAAAAGTCTATTTCTAGAACTAGGTCCGTTTGACTTCTATTACCAAAATATATTAGATAGGTGAATGAAAGTATTTTCTTCAATATAAATCACATCACTATTTATCTCATAAAATGCATATTGATCTCATAGTCAAATTAAATAAAATCCCCCAATATAAATCAATCATAGTGTTGTTTGATGATATAAATATTTTTTTAATGCAACCTAGCTACAGAATTGTTCAGGAAGTTGTAAAAAATATATATCTTGTATTGACACTCTGATGTCATAAAATGACATAAGCGTGTACCTAAACTACTGAATTTATAGTTCAATAAGTACATTTACAAGGAAAACACTTTTTACCTTCGTTATATCAACCGCTACAAGTGTAATAACCAGCGCTTTAGAAGTGTCAAGGCAATTCTTTTTATTTCTATTGAGTTATATCATATGCACATAATAAGCAGATTTAGTCTAATTAGATATATAACTAAAATCCTTTATCAGAGAGCACTCATATCTCCTAATACCCATCCTTGTTCCAAGGGTATTTTACTTTTTCTGATCTGGATTCTGATCCTGAAGGATGCACAATAGTCAGATTCTTATATTGGAATGACACGTGTTCATTTTAACAAAGGACGTACAGGGATTGAGACTATTCACATCATGATATAAGCCTGTTTAGATTTAGGAGATGCTGGGTAAATTATGGACAGAAGTTTTATCATATTTACAGTAAAGTTGACATTTTATTCACTTTGTTACCTGCTCTTAATTTGCTTATATATATAATCGTATATTCCCTGTGGTCAGGAGAAAAGGATGACTACAAAATTGATGACATTATAGAAAAAGAATGACACCAGTTGAAAAAGTATGACACTAGTAATAAAAAGATGACACTGATGAATTAGCAAAAAAGGATGAAACTGTCGTAAAAGTGCATGACATCATGACATATTCATCATGTAAATTTCACATCAAGTTTGGTTATTTTTTCTGTGAAAGTGTAATGCTTATTGTATGCTTAACAAATTATCTGAAAACTTGATATTGTTAAGTGAACACAAAATAAAATTGAGATGAATATCTATTTAATAAAATATTACACCTTCTAATGCTGTAATAACTTGATCTTCAATAGTTGGTACCATCTTTCGAATTTCATGACACATATACACCACATTTAATTGCTCTTCTCTGTAGACCATGTTTTAGTTATTTTCTTCCTCAAAATATGTTTATTGAACTCTAATTTGAGTGTGAATTGAATTGGAGTGATCACCTTTCATCTTTCGACTTCTGATGTTACCATATTGCAACCAGTTCTCCCCCCCTGGTTTATTTTAGTAAATCATACCAAACAGAACTAAGTGCCATGAAGAATTTACCCTTTGCATTCGTTTGACTACACTTCTTAAAAGAGAGCTTCGTCTTGTAGTTTAACTAGACTCTGCACGCAGGGTATGAAGAATTATAGGATGAGGCCTATAGGATACAAGCATTATTAGACAACCATCCATTCAACATATCGAAGTTTCACTGAAATTACTCCATGATTCTATCTTAAAAAAAATCATTATCTAACAAACAAGAAATCAATCAAACAAACAAACGAACAAATAAACAAACTTGTAATATGTAATTTTTAATAGCCTAAAATCTTAATAATTTCTCTTTATATTACAGATCTACCCAAAAGACTTGGAATGCATCTCATCTATGGTGACTTTTGAGCACCTCTACCTTATGTGCCAAAATATCAGTGTACCGTCTCCTACAGGGCTTAGGTATGATATTGTATAATTAGGAAAATCAGGTTTACGTTTATGTACATTACATTACACTATGAGCACATTACTAGTATTTTTATCTAAAAGATAGAAGTTTTTGTTAATGGTCTGTGGCATTTTTGGATGTACTCGTATATTAAAAAAGATTTATAATTTTTCTTTGTTTTCTATTTGTTACAATGAGTGTAGATTCATTCATTCTTATCAAATGCATATTCATTTGAAAGTTTGATTTCTTAAATCAATTTAATTTGCTTATATATGTTTTAATGAATATGAAAGGCTGTTTTTTGTTTGTTTTTTTTTCAAATATAGTTTATTCCAATTTAGGTTTTTACGATACAGAAATACAATGATACAATTAATTACAATAATGTATAATGAGTTATGTTTTAATCATTTTCCATTTGTTTTTAAAAAATACATTTTTACGAGTACAGATTTCAAAATTTAAAGTTTTAATAGTGCCTTCAAAATTACGCTTAATACCATTATTCAGTTCTTGAATATATGTTTTATATATAACAAATGACACAATACTTATAAAATAGTTTAAAAATTCAGTATGTTTGTCATTTCCATTGTAACCAATTATCAATTTTCTGTAAGTTACTCTTAACCCTGAGATATTATAAATATGTTTCCAAATGTTTTGAGAATATGAGCATGAAAATAACAAATGTTTCAAGGTACATAATTCATTACATAAACTACATTTGTAGGTTTCACTTTTACCAAATATATATAAATCACTAAGGCTAGGAAGAATATTGTTGATTATTTTAAAGTTGAAATTACCTATTTTCTTTTCTTTACAACTTATTTTTGTAGAGAAAAAGTTTTGCCAATTTATTTCATCATTGGCTTCATAGCAAAACTCTTGTTCCCATTTCCTTTTCATAAACCATTTTTCCGATCGTTTGTTTTTTAATATCTCATAAAAGAATTTGGATTTCTGATTATTCACAGTGATAATCACATTATTTATATTAAATTTAAAAGTATTATGAATATTTGTATACTTGACAGATTCTAAATTGAATCTTTCTTTCAGTGTGCCCGTGGCTGATAAAACTCTGTAATATTCAGATATCCAATTTTGTTTATTTACAAGTTTTTGATATAACATATTAACATCAAGGAACCTGTTCTGAATTATCAAGTCTTTTATGTATATAATTCCACTTTTGATCCATGATTCAAAGAAAATTGGTTTATTTTTGACGGTGAATAATTTGTTTCCCCATATAACCTCTTGCAAGAGTTCATGTTGCTTCATATCTCTTATATTTTTGATGTATTTACATAAACAATGTGCTTCTAGCACTTGTTGATAAAAAAGTGGAATATTTTCAAATTCTTTGAATCTAGTATCATTTATCTTGAGTAATACATCTATATTTGGAAGAAATTTATTGAAATAGAAGTAAGGGATTTTATTGTACATGTTTTGATTATGCAAACGGGGGATCCATGCTGCTTTAAGTGCATGTATTTGAGACTCTAAGTCAATCATATTTATTCCACCCTTATTAATATTATTTATGATTATAGATCTTCTTATTTTGTCCTTTTTTCCATCCCATAGAAATTTAAATACAAGATTGTTTACTTTTTTTATAATCTCATGTGGCACAGATAATACTGATGCTGCATAAATTAATTTTGGAATTGCCAGTGATTTAATCACTGTAACTTTGCCAAAAAGTGTTAAGTATCGGTTCTTCCAGCTGTCTAATATTTTTTCTACCTTTTTTACTCTATCTTCCCAGTTTAATTCATAACATCTTTGTTTGTTGTGTCCTAAAAAGATTCCTAAATATTTGATTGGTTCATCAGTAAAAGTTATATTTTCACATTTCTTTTCAAAGTCCTTATTTTTTCCAAGCCAAATGCCTTCAGTTTTTTCTATGTTTAACTTCAGACCAGAAAATTTTGAGAAATTGGAAATAGTATTAAGAGCATTTTTCAATGACTCTTTATCTTTAATGAAAAGTGAAGTATCGTCCGCATATTGGGACATCTTATATTCTTTACCATCAACAGTTATACCTGATATATCATTATTTTGTTGAATTGCTAAGTTCATAACTTCGCAACATAAAATAAATGCCATTGCGGAAACGGGGCAGCCCTGCCGACATGAGCGTTCAACATCAATATTTTTTGATAACCATCCATTTTGCTTAATGTTTAAGAAAGGTTTTTCGTATAAAAGTTTGAGCCATTTGATAATCTTATCACTGAATTTAAATTTTTTCAACGTTTCATACATAAAATTCCACTCTATACTATCAAACGCTTTTTGGAAGTCAAGAAAGATTATAGCGCCACCTATCTGATTTTGATTTTCAAAATATTCAAATACGTCTAATACCAGTCGGCTACTATTTCCTATAAAATGACCATTAATATAAGCCGTTTGTTGCATACCAATTAATTTACCTATAACCTTTTGAAGTCTTTTTGCCAAGATAAAAGCTAAAATCTTATAATCTGTATTAGATAATGATATTGGACGATGATTTTTTAATAGTTCACGGTCTCCTTTTTTGAATAACAAAGATATGATAATTTTACGAAATGATGTTGGTAAGATTCCAATTTCATATGACTCATTAATTGCTTCTATAACATAAATATGTATATCTTTCCAAAAGCATTTATAGAAGTCAGTGGTTAAACCATCTGATCCTGGGGAAATATCTTTTTTCATACTGGAAATAACAGGTAAACACTCACTATTATTGATAACACCTTCAAGGATGTCATTATCTTGTTTATCTAATGTATTAGGAAAGTTAATAGAATTTAAATAATTTTTTATTACTTTATTGGTTGGTTGGGATTTTGATCTATATAATTCGCTATAGAATTTAATTTCTTCTTTCAAAATATCCTCATCTAATCTAAGTATACCATTTTCTGATTTCAATGATGTAATTGTATTATTTGCCTGACGTGCTTTTTCTAAGTTCAGAAAATATTTTGAGTTTTTATCTCCAAATTCTATTTCTTGCTCTTTTGACCTTAAGATGGCACCCTTTGTTTTGCTTTCAAGGTCTTTTTCAAAAATAGATAAAATTTCAAGCTCTCTAGCTTTTGTAGTGTCAGAAGTATGATCACTACTCTGTATTAAATCAAGCTCTTTATTTAGAACATGTAATTTTTTCTTTGAAATTGAACATTTTTTGATTGAGAATTGAATTGCAAATTCTTTAATTTTGACTTTCAAAAATTCCCATTTTAATTGTTTTGAGTTAATCTGGTTTAATTCATGTTCATTTATATTTCTAATCAACCCTTTTACTTCGTGTACAAAAGTGCTATCAAGTAAAAGAGAATTATTGAATTTCCAATAACCAGGACCACGCATATTTTTACTTGTATCTAACTTCATCATGAGACATTTATGATCTGACATTGGATAGTGATGCTTAGTTCTTGATATAACTTTGAATTGAGCATCTTTATTATATAATATGTAATCAATTCTTGATTTAGCATTTTTTCCTTTTGATATACATGTATAGCCAAAATGCTTAAATTCATCATTGACATTGAGATATCTTATCAGGTTTTCTAATTTTAATCTGCTATTGTCAGTTTCTATTGTCTTTGGAAATTTGTCATCTTTGGTAAGATAACAATTTAAATCACCTGCTACTATAATGTTGTTGTTAAATGTTGCAAATTGTATGATCTTTTTAGACATTTGTGTAAAAAATTCTGCCCTACCAGTATTTGAATTTGGTGCATACATATTAACAAATGTAAATAAATTATCATTAATTTTCACATTGATAAGTAACGACCGTGCATCAGCACTTTTGAATATGAAAGGCTGTTAAGTCTTGAATCTGTCTTGAATTTATAGAAATGGAGGCTCTTCATCATCGCACCTTTCACATGATTCATTGGGACGCAACATGCCAACTGAACCCAGTATTAGTCAAGTACCATTCGCATTTGATCTCATTGGAATTTTACCAAAGTGCCAACAAGTGGAGGTGTTACTCTCAACATTAATACCAGGTAATCAAGTATAATCAATGTGCTAAATAAAGATAGATATGTTTATTAGAAATGTCATGTTTCAGAATTATGTCATATTTTAGAATAAGGAAATTAGGAATCTCTAGAGATGAGTTTATATATACTTAGTGCACAACGATTATAAGTTACTTTGATTTACAGTAGCAGACCAGAAAGATGAAATATCCCAACTTCCACCACCTAACAATATTTTGTTTGCATTAATGGTAGAAGCCCTATCTGAAATACATGATAGGTAAGTTTAAATAAAGAATAGTGAACCATACTATCGCATGTACCGTAATAGTGTTACATTCTATTAGAAAAAATGTCACCATCTTTTATTGACTCTTTAGATGTCATGACCTGACATATTAGTCATTACAAAATAAATACATTGTACTACACTACACTACACTACACGAAGTTGTTATTTACATCTTTTAGAGAAATTCACCTCTCTGAACCAGAGCACCAACAATTTCTGCAGTTGCTCGGCAACAGACAGAGAGATTTGGATGAATATCCTCTTCCATTCCCAATGCCGTCTGCTGTTGATGTAGTTCCTGAAGTTGACACTAGGCGGCAGTTGAGTAGTGACTCTTTACAGAGCCAGAGTACTATGATCACAATGTTATCACAATCCCAGAGCTCAAAATCATTCGAAAAACAGGATACACCACAAGGAAATTATGGAGCTGGAGTCAACCCAGGCATTAGTGAAGCTCAAGAGAAAGAGACAAGTGTTAGTTGGAGATGCTTTGTGAAATCAATATCACCTCAACAAGTGATTTTGATGTTCATACCAGCCAGTTATGATGACCTGCTGTGTTTAATGGAGTCAAAAGAACAATCAAATGAAGATGTTATTGTCTTAGGGAAAGATCAAACCTCGCAACGGACAGGAAGTGATTCATCAACAAGGGAGACATCTATTAGCAAAGATAATCTGACAAATGAACATATTGAGAATGTCACGAGTGATGAAGCAGGGCTCAGAGACATAGAAGCTGTATTAAGTCAGGGAGAATCAATCATAAAAAATGAACATGAAAAGCCGGTTATAGAAAAACTTGACTTGGAAAAGAAAGCAGAGTGTAAGGCTAGTGTGACATTACCCGTATATTTTTACAACTGTTCGCTGAACAATATAACTGAACATTTAGTGAACAGGTGGAGTTATGAACCACCTGATGATATTTTTCAAGATCTCCGTTTTGAAAATGAAACATTGAACAATATGACAGACAATAGATCCAGTGAGGAACAACAAAGTTCTACCAGTAGTAAGTCTGAGACACCAAGAACTGAAGAATTACCAAATAAAAAGCCTGAGACACCAAGGCGGCTCTACCAAAGACAAGAATCATTCAGGTCACACCTGAGAAAAGCCAGTGAATTGGACAGCAGTGATTATGATTTGAGTGGTACATTTAAAGCAAGATCCTTTGCCAGAGACAGGACAACATCAGAGCAAGTTTTCGGGGACAACATAGAACTACAACAACATTGTATGATGGTATCAGAATCCTACTATAAAAGTTTTGTAACAGGTATGTATACCTTTGGTATGTTATTAGAAATGTCAAAATGATTCACACCTGACATGCATTTCACAGGCCTGTCAACTGTCCCGTAATTTGCATATTTGTCACGCATTTGCTGAAGAATTTGAAGTCACGCCAGTTATTTTTGCGTGACAGAAAATGTCACGCAAATACGCATTTTACCTGGTAATTGTCAAGCAAAAATATTTCTGTAGAAAAATTTCCAAAAAAGTTCGTCTACACAGCAAAAATATGAACGCCGAAAAAAAACGTACGCATTTTGTTCGGAATTTTCACGCGAATTACGTATATGTTACGCATTCCGTTCGAAATATTTCGTAAAATTTGGATCAAGGTGTTCAGATTTGGACCAAGGTGTCCACATTTTGAGGGGAGGTGTTCAACATTTCCAAGTCACTCATGTTAGGTGTTCCCAAGTTGACAGGCCTGATTTCAATTCACAAGAGGGCATTTACAGTTGAAATGTATGAATTTCTGTTGAAAAGATGATTGAACTGATATTAAAAAATTCTCAAGGTGTTTTTGATATACAGTGAAATGAAACATGATTCTTACATAAGAACCATATTCAGACAGTTTTCACCTTTCCAAAAGTTTAACTGACTGTGGACATACAGTGTAATAGTATAATAACCTTTTAGGAGATTGTCTTACATACAATATTGGGAGTGCTATAATTGAATGGTATATGTGAGGAGAATCTTTGTTCATTACTGTTCACCAATTAATCAGGGGGGGGAGATTTCCCAAAGATGACCTTTAGTATTGCCATGTTTGGATAACGAATTTTTGAAATGGATCTCACAATGTGTATTTATAAGTATACTCTCCAAGTTTGGATCGAGCAACTTCAAAAGTATTAATGTAGTTTTGAAATGATGTAAAACTAAAATAAACACCATTACTTTGCGCATGCGCATGCTGAGACCACGTGCTCATAATTGTTCACGTGATCAAATCCTGCAATTTGATTGGACATCACATACTGGGGAATCCCCGAATACGATAGAATATGAAAGAATTATGGGAGCTTCTCACTTCTTCTGCCAATTAATGTCCAAACCTCCTCTTTTTGTGTTCAAGGGGTCTTTAAAAGTCTACAGTTGGGTCAGAAGGTTGACATACATGATGTAGAGAGTGCAATTAATGGCATATGTGAGGAGAAGCTGCCAGTTGAGCTAGACATTTCTCCATTCTTACAGACAGTCTGTAGTCATCTCCAGGGAGTCATAGAGAAGGTACCAAAATAGATCACATGTCTCAGTTTTATATTGGGAGATTGCATTTATGACAGATTTGAATGGTATCAGTGTATCACTTATTAATTGCATTTGGTTACTTCAGGAACTTATTTTTGAAACATCTACTGCATACCCAGACCTACATGGGGTAAATAATTTGATGGCCATTTTGGTATGTTGGGTAAATAATTTGATGGCCATTTTGAATTTTTTGATAAAAAGTGTTATATTTATTATTATGTGCCTTGTTTCTTTACACATAGATTAATATGGAGGAGCGATGCCAGGATGATATAGATATGATAATAATTAGGTTGCGATCTTATAACAGCACAATACGATCTAAACTAGAGAACAAGTCTGATGTATCCATGCTACCTGTGACTGAGTAAGTAGTTTAAAACTTAAGACATATGAAACAAGCAATACTATTGAGATAAAAAAAAGAACACAAAATATATGAAAAGTTACATGACTCAAGATCTCTTCGTAGAAAGTGGAGTGGTATGGTATTGAAATAAACAGAAATATCAATTCAAAGTATAAGAACATATTGAAATAAGTCTCATGAATAAATGTCTTATGTCATTGACACAGTTGTGCTGATACATGTGCAATAATGATAGAAAACACAAATTGCAATGTACATAATGTTTACTAAATTAGACCTTATTAGATCCAAAAAAGCAAAAGAATATAAGTGCATGACTTTATATAACACTTTGTGGAATTCTGTTTTTTTTTCATTTAAATAGCAATGAGCATTCACAGAAAAAAGCCGGTTTCTCTGACCTGATGTCACCAGAGCCTACCCCCAGGCTGAAGAAGTCCATTCCCCTCCCCCTGTCTTTACTCCAGAACCCTGAGACCTGTGAGAGGGTGAAAGGACTACATAACCTGATACGTATCAAATTTGAAGCCATCATGGAGAACTGGTTCAAACCAGTTCCAACCAACCCTGACTTCTTTTTCTTTCACCGTAATGACTATGAAGATGAAGAAATGGTACATGTTCTCGTATAACATTCTTTAACTTACTTAAAGTATCTTTGTACATATAGTTAAGTTTGAATTAAGAAACAAAGCTTAAAATCTCTAATAAGGAAATGTACAAAAATAATATTTGATTTTTTGTCTCAGTCTCAAATCATTTTTGGCCTTTCTCGTTGTATCTCAATTGTATTTTGAGAACACACATCCATTCTGTGAGAGAATTGATACCTGGACAATACTTGGAATATTTATATAACAAAAAAACATTTGCTTTATTCTGCAGTGGCAACTTAACCAGGAGGAAGAACAGAATGAAAATACATTGAGTAAAGCTCCAGAAGCTCAGGGTATGTCTTTCTATACTGAATTTGTGTGACCAGATCTGCTAGTTATACCTGAATAAAACTCGGACTGGCAATGGCATATAAATACTTAAATATATGTGTCCAAATTATGTTGTACAGGACATTCACTGTTAAAGAACTTTATTTCCAATATTCCATGATTCAAAAGAATTCTTTGCTTTACAGGAATAAACTTTGAAGCAGTGAGTAGATTTAATTCTTAAAAAGTATCATATTCAAATAATCATTTTTGTATTTTCTCCAGATGCCACCGCAGCAGAAGACAGTGATACAGTCTTCACATCAGACTTTGAGTGTGCTACTCCAAGTGAGCATGGCACAAACTTTGACTCTGTTAAACCAAATGAATATGATGCAGAGACGATCAGTAATGCTTTAAAAGATGACCTTGAGTCCCTGATCTCCATGAATGAGGATTTGCCTCCACTGTTCCTCCACTTGATGTGCTCCGTAAAGACCAAGGGAGATGTATACAGCGTCAGTGTGAGGCATCTGCCTACATGTCTAGGTGAATACACAACTTTTTGGACTATTACTGGTGAATCTATATGTGTACCATTTCAAATTATAATCGCTCAAAGTTTTTGGAAAATTATTTAGTATTATAACATGAATTGTCGATCAAACCTCTTTGAAAATTGAAATATGCTGGTTAATTTTGTACAGTTATGTACAGTAGAATTATTTACACTCATTCTAGGGGAGTTGAGAGAGTGTCTTGTAGACAGAATGGAGGGCTCTGACCTTGACTTGAATGACCTACAAGTGACCTTGGACATGATCTTCCTGACCTTGCCTGAGGACACAGAGATGCACTTGGATAGTGCTAGGGAGGAGTACAACAGGGAGGTGTCATATGAGAGTGCCTATACAGATAATGTGAAAGTAGAACAAGAGGAAACGAAGAGCACCATGGCCTCTACAGATGTGGGGTAAGTGGATGGGAATTTTGTGCCAATTATGATTTTTGATAGATATTTCAAATAACTTTCTATCGATATGAGATAGCTTTCGTCATGGGACCTGGTGTGAAGATTTCAAGATTTAATCATTCCGAACATGACTCATCAGATTCCATGTACTAGTTACGCTTTCTTATGAAACATTTGTATTTATTTTATGTTATGAATTGAGTGAAATAAATTATTGAACCTGATATTTTTTGAAGATTTCAACCTCAGTCCAATGATCCACTGTCCAATCTACCTGGACCTCAGAATGAGGCTATCAAACTATGTCGGGATAAAATCAACTGGTTATTGAGAGACGAGATTGCCTCTGCTATGCGTCAGGTGATTCCTCTTACTGAGAACACCCTTGCTATGGTGGCTAAGCATGTTGAGGACTCCAAAGGAAGACCTGCATGTATCCATGAGTCTGTACCACTGCAGTTTGTCTATGGGCCAGAGCAGAGTCTCACCAACTTTGTAGAGGTAGGCATGGTGTGGCTGTGCTATTGTAAATTTTTGATACTTAGAAAAAAGTATCTGATTTTTTTTTACTGATTGAAGGTTCTACTGTGTTGTGCACTGGTACAATACGTTCATTTGTTCCATATAAATGGATACTTGTAGGTATTTGTAACTTGAAATTCCATTCCATTTTAGGTGGTGACATATTGTAAAAGTCACCATTTTGTTTTAACAGCGGTTGGCATGGGAGTGTCAAACTGATTGATACAGTTATTCAACAATTAACAATAAGTTGTGAAATTTTGTCATGTTAATGCTTTGGTATTTATTTATTGACCACCCCTCATACTTGCAGCAATTTGAGCGTATGGACTTACCAGGGTTCCACCTGAACAAAGAGGGTGAATACTACTACCTTGTACTGGACAGACTACGCAGGGAGACTACCACTGAACCTATTATCACAGCTGAGGCACTTAGCACTGCGTTAAATCAACTCAATGGTGGAGATACACAGAAAACACCAGAAGATGTTTCTAAGAGTGGCTCATTTGTGCTATTAAAGGATGACTCTGGAAGGTAAGTTCACAGGGCTCTAGCTAAGAATCTGGTTAATATAGAGGCAGGTGCCTTGTTATTGGTTGTAAAAATTCCACCTGGGTCAAGAAAATAGGTTTCACATTTTTTCATAAGCTAACCACTGTTATTTAATCAGATATTTCTAATTGTGATTTTGACATTAAAACATGTCCTTCCATGTTATTTCTAGAGCAAGACATGAACGATCACCAATGTCAAGTGGTGAGCGTAGCTCCAAGTGTGTGTCTGAAGACATAACAATATCTCTGACACATCCTAGTCCTGTAAAAGAGATTCCACCATTCCCTCTAGAAGAGCTGTCCAATAGGAGTCTAGAAGATATAGGAACAAAATCTAGTGGAAGTTCGATACAGGTAGGCTTCTGTTTTTATAGGTTGACACAAAAAATACCTTTATTTTTTGTTTTTTTGGTCACCTTGTACATTTTTCAAATACCTGAAGATGTGAGAAATGATCTTGTAGAATAGCCTCACATTTTCAAATAGACATATTTAAGTAAATAGGCTGAGACATTCCTGAGACAAAACATTTTAAAGTTCTTCAACTTAAGTTTGCAATTTGATATTCTTTGGTGAAAATATTTTCTCAAAAGAAACTCTTCTCATAACTTTTTAGAATCAATCTATTTACTGTTATCAATATCATGTGAATCAATTTCAAAATGTTTTAAAGGTTCTAGAGGAGGAGGCACCATGTATCCCATCATCCACTACTACCAATGTAAATGCACCTGTACAACCACCAAAACAGCAGTCAATCATAGAGGATAAAATACCTGAGAACCAAACAGAGGGTAACAGTCAATCAGAAACAGTAAATGAAGACGGTATTATTAAAATCGATACTGAAATAACTGAGACTGAGGAAAAACCTAAAGAGCCTCATGTTGATGATTTTGAAACTATTAAAGATATAGAGTCTGGTCAGGATGCGCTTGAAATGAAAATGGATCATTACTCCGAAGATCAAAAGGACAATGTTGAAATTAAAGAGAATGTACCAAAAGAAGAAGATGGAGGCAGTGCAGAGGCTGCACATATGAAATCTGAGAAAACTGCACCTGTTATTCCTGAGGAGGCAAAAACCAAAGTCGAAAATGATGAACATATTGATGGAGAGAAAAAGGATGAAGACATTGATGAGGTTCAACATGAAAAACCTAAAGAAGTTCCAAGTCCAATTTCTCCAGTGTTGAAATCAAATGAAGAGATTGAGAGATCCAAGCTATCTAAACAAAAATCTTTGAGTGGAGAATCAGCTAAGGGTGTTTCATCAGGTGCTGGCACCCCAAGAGCTGTTCCACTAATTGGACATTCCCCTCGTCTCAGTGCAGTAATGGCCCCAACAGCCCTCGTTTGTGAAGACATTGTACTAGAACCTAAGACTGGTGGCAAATCTGCAACTTTTACAATAGGTCCTGCTCTAGGGGAATCTTCCCCTCTTAGTGACACTATATCTCCTAGGGTTGCTGTATCAGACAAAAGTCAGTTGTTACGTCGTGGCAGCGATCATGAACTTTTGCGACGCAGACACAGCAGTGGTGACAATAAGCATAGTAGATCACGACATGCCAGTGGCGACAACAAACTAAATAGATTAAAATCAAATCAAAAGACTTCAAACCAAGATGTGACTCCAACACGGAATGTGTCTGGTGGTGAAATACAATTGCGGCATACATCTGGGTCTGGAGGTAGGACCCCCAGGCATTCCTCAGGCCCATTCTCATCCAGTAGGCACACAAGTGGGCCAGAGACTCCAATTAGAAGTCTCTCATATGCTGACTTCAGTAGTCAGGGGAGCTACACTGAAGGTTGGTATAAAGCTAGAGCATGAATTATATTTTTGTTCAAATGGGAAATTAAGAATAAAATCGGTGTATCTAGATTGCTTTGTATTTATTGTAAATTCCTGTTGTTAGGCTAAATGGGTGATTGTTTAAGACTCAGTTTACTGTAGGAGAAATTGTTCTGAACTGTCTAAATCTCAATGTCTATTGTAGGGTATGAGGGAGATTCCAGTGATTCTGATGATGGAGTTATCTCTATGAATGAATCTCTAATAGTGCAACGCCCTCTATTACCAAACTTCTGGCTTATAATGCAGAACAGGAAAGATAAAGTGGACATTTACTTCCATACGAGGTAAATTTCAATTTCACAAGTACTGGTTTTAAGGTACATGAAATAATTGTATAATTGGTTTCTAGGAAGGGATAAATGATAATTTCATGTTTCTTAAATAAAGATATCAACTTTTCTTATTGTCCTTTCATTTTGTGAAGTTCATTTGTGACTTTATTCAGTTGCCATAACAATCATACTCCATGTTCCAGAGACACAGGGGAAACTGAAAGTGAGAGGATTATTCAACAAAAGATGCTCTACAATCAGGTATACTTTTCAGTTATTACAGGGATAAGCATCCTCCTTAGCAGGTGTACAGAATCCGTACCTCCTTCTTCCCCCTGCTATAACCAATTTAGAAGCGCCCGATTAAACTGAATCACGTGATCTAATTATGCGCAATGACTTATATATGATTTCTGTCATAGTGCTGCGACAGCCAATCAGATTGCGAGTTCTTAATCGGGGAAATGCTAACTGCTTATCGCAAGGGGTAAAAAGAAAGAATATATTCTGGATTTTGAAGCCCTGTGATTGGAGGATGCGGGATAAGGAGCTTCATACATCCGAATATAAAGTATATCCTAGAAAATCCTAGAACAGTGAGCATTTTCCCTGAGTGTTTTGATTTTCTAAATATAAAGAATTTGATGCATAAAATGTTATTGTTGCAGGTGATCAGGAATATCAAGGAAACATGCCATGTTGTCAATCAGGTAAGACAAGTTAGAAATACAGACCTATTCTATATTTGGTGTGAAATACAAAGACTTATTCTGGATTTTGTGTGAAAAAACTGACCACTCCAGATTTATTGTTCAAATTTAAGACCTATCCAAAATGTGACTGAAAAATACAGACATCTATAACGCATCTATAATGCATCTATAATGCAGAATTATTGCAGATCTCAAGCCCAAAATGTGGAAAACAAGATATTTTTATGAATTATGTTTAATATATGATTGCAAAGCATCCTGATTCTCAAGAAATTCAAAATCTCAGTAACTAAAGCAAGAATATTAAGTTTCCATTGTTGTTTATATAGATTCTGTTGCTGCAAAACTTGAATGAGACACATATGTGTAATGCCCTGTTAGTCCCTGAGGCTGATGAAGATATTATATGGAAGCAAGATGACCTTGGGCCACCCCTGGACAGAGTCAAGAAATCTACAGGTAAAACGTCATTACTGAAAAGCAAACTAATCTCCATGACAGTTTGAACAGAAATACAACTTGAAAGAAAGGCCTGTCTCATAGTCTAATGACCCCAGTAGGGGTTTAAAATATTCTTTATTTTTGTTCCATACTAAATCTGATGCCACGTATTTATTGTACTGTGATACTTTGTCATGATTAATTTGATTGATTTTATGTATTTCAGATAGCTCAGATGATGAAGACCAGACCAACCAGAATTATCTGGCAGCCACTCTTCACTTCATGCCAGGGCACTTTGGGTGTGAATGTGTGTGGAAAATGCACTTCAACCTAAACCCAAGGCTGAGAGGGGGTACAGGGAGGTCGAGCATGGCCAGGGGGATACAAGCATTGCGTTCAATTCTCAATCCATTCTCCGTTAACAACAGGAAGAACATGTTTGTATATAGGGAACCACAGTCTGGAAATGTCTTTTATTTAAGGTAGGAGTTGAGTTTTATTTGAAAAGTACAGTACAGTAAAACCTATCTGAAATGAACACTGCTGGAGCCATTCCATCTGAAATTCTATACATTGAGAGGCTTTCCTGCTCATGGGTCTATGGGACATCCAAAAATCTGAATTGAGGAAAACATTACTTGAGAATAATGAATGAGTTTGTTGTACATCATAATATTCATTGTTTCCATACATTTTAACTGACAAGGCAATGTTCTTGTTTCCTTCCTAAAAATAATTTCATAATTACTAAAAATTTTATTTAAATGATTTTTAGCAAGTACAAATTCTTTAAAACGTTTTCCTTTAATTTTTTACATGAATGGTCTAAGGTCTTACATCTCATTATTTCTCCCCTATTCCTTGATGTATTTCAGGCTAAATGAATCGAGGAGTGAAGTGAGAACCAGTATACCTAATATAACTGAGGCTACTAAATCTGAAGAAGAACTTCCTAACTCAAGTAGGTCAAACTTAAGTTCTCATCTCCAAGGATATTTTCTATATGCAATATTCCTAGTGATGTAAAAGACAATAGAGGTGATTCAAAAGTAAATGTTTAGGTACACTAGAATTCATCCAATCAGTGTGGGATTTTGTAAAATGCAGGATCATTCAATTTTATGTACCCCAAATTTCAACAAATACATCTTCTGCATTCTCTATGTACAAGGGTCGATCTATAAATTCTGATAAAACTGCATAACTGCAATAATGTTCAACCAAAGGTGAACCCCCGATAAGGAGAGCTTTTTAGAAGGACACAACTATTTTATTCTGTAAGTGATCATCGTGAATTTTTAACATACTTTTAAAAATGAGGGGAATTTATACATCCTGAAATATTTTCTTCGAATTATTAAAACGTGCGTTTGAAGAACCTTTTTTGTGAAGCGATAAAATTCAATTTTCCATATTTAACCGTTACATTTTGCTTAAATTCAATAACTTTCCCATTACTGTACGAGCAAAATAGAATGTGGCTAAGTAACATAATGAAGCAAAGTCTTAGTTTTCGTAAAGAAGTCGATGGGCGCTCCACCAGAAATATATTTTAAGAATTTTTTACGAATTGGTTCCATTATTCCGTCATTCTCATGCGTCGAAAGGGTCTCAAAAACATATTTCTAGGGAAACACCCATTGATTTCTTTTTATTTTCTAAGAGTTCAGATAAATAGGTATCTTACATTTGTGACACTTTGTTCCTATCCCATCAGGCCATACACGGATTTTAACCACAAATAAAGAGTCTAACCTTAAAAAACGAGTTAATTGCCCTGCAAAAAATATTCTTAAAAAAGCAATTTTTATATCACACAAGTTGTTTTTGGGAATATCTACGATCACCTAATATCTAAGATCATCTCTGATGTAGTGTTAAACTTCCATGATGATCTCATCCAGAATAAAAAAGCAATGTCCTTCTAAAAAGCTCTCCTTATCGGGGGTTCTTCTTTAATACAAAAGCTAATTCTTAATAGTTATTTGAGTAATCTCAGTTGTGTGAAAAAATTGATTAATTAAATTGGTTAATATTAAGTGTGTGTCTAAAACTTTGTTTATTACTATTGAATCACCCCTTGTAGGTATAAGTTATAACATGAAATCCCTTGATACATATCATTTTAGGAAAATGTTATGGCAAATATTTCTAAATTCACTATGAAGTAGATAATCCTCAGACAAATGTCTATGGTTCCCTAAGAATAAACCCAATGACGATGTTAATGTTAATGGATTATTTCTTTCCAGTTTCAAGGAGTTCCTCAATATGGTCGCTACAGACTAAACCGGGTGACATGGCTGAAGATGGGGCATCTGTCTCTCAACTTGACATGACCACTACTTCTAGGAAACCATCTATCAATGCAGAGAGAGAAGAAAAGACAACTCGTAAAATAGAGGAATGTATTATTCTCTCAGCACACGGTATCTGCCCCGTAGGTGAGTCGATGAAATTATTTTGAAATAAAGAATGGATGAATGGCTCTGTTCTGTACGGCATCGTTATTCCATTGGAAGGTTGAATTCTGAAACTTCATGGTCATTTGTCTTTCATAATAATGAAACACAGTAACATTTAGTTTCTGATTGAGCTTTAAATGGTCATTCATTAGCACCTAAGTAGACAATGTAGTCTTTAGGCTAGATTCAATCTTAGTAAAACTGTTAATTTGATATTATCACCCTTGAAAAGTGGTAGTTACCACATGAAATGTTGTCATTTTTTAACTTGTAATTTTATACAGGCAAAAGCAGACTAGGGACAAGATCTGATTAGGTTTTGGGTGTGCTGTGTAATTTTAAAAAGTTTCCATTTTGCTCTTCAAGTGTGATAGTAATGTTTGTTTCGCAACAATCCTCAGAAAATTTCTAGATTGCAGACACATTGAAATCTTAGGGAACCCCATTAAATGTATATGCAGTCACTGTTAAATAGACAGTGGGGTAACAGGTAGTTGATGCAAGACTAGCAAGTTGTTCTCTGTATTATAGGACATGAGATACGAGATGAGCTGGTGAAAGTATTGTCCAACAGACTGGATGATCACGTACTTGGAGACCTCACAGTCATGCTAGTCAGGAATCCCATGTGTAAACTCACTACAGATGATGTACAGGTGAATATTGATTGTTTGAGGGTCTTGTTTGTTTGTTTGTCTGTTTGTTTCTTTGTTTCTTCATCTGTCTAATGTACTGTGTAGAGTTAGCTTTACTTATGATTCAGCTAATTCAGAAAAATTATACAAAATTGTAAAGAAACATTTTATGGAGTTGACTTGGGGATGCGTTATATTTGTAGTTGGTCTAATACTAAAACAACCGTAATACAACATATGCTTGAAATTCATTTTTCTGTTGTTTGTTTGATGGATTTTCTTTAAATCCTGATGTACTATGAATTTATCTTTAATTTATTTCCCAGTTCATACAGAAGCCTTTCCAAGCTCCACGGAGGGTGATACGGTTGTCTATCCCCTCTAGTGCCTCTCTGCATCTGTATGCTCTGGGCTACTACCTCAGGCAGAACCTACTCACCTTCCTTAACACACCTAAATATATGGAGAACAAGCCTGAGAACTTTTTCAAGGTAAGATAGAACAGTGAAACATCATATAGGATAGAGTTTTTATTATTGGAGGGGCCTGGAGAGTATCTAGAGTATATCCCAAATTTCTGTTATTTAGATTTTGTCAACCAGACCTATCATGGACTTAGAATTAAATTTCTGCATTACGAGATTATTAGTAATTAGGAAAGAAAATATTTTAGTGAAATAGACATCCTTGTGAATCAAAATGTACTTTATTATGTACACAGTTAATAGTGTTGAAGCTTGTAATGTTGAAATTGGAGAGTTCATGTTGAAATGTATATTCTCCTAGGACTATAGTGGACCAGATCCTGTGCCTTTGAAAGACTCCCATATCTTCCTGTACAACCGACCCCAGCAGTCAGGGGGGAAAGGTAAGACATGATATACACGAATCGTCAATTTTTGAAGAGGACTTGAACTGAAATAAATGAAATATACTTATCACACGTTTGTTACAAATCTTCTTATTTTCATATTTGTTTAAAAGATAGCCTTTATTGACAATTTTGTAATGTCACTCTTTAGGCACAATGTTGTAAGTGTTATATGCATTTGAGATAATTTACAGTGCATTAATATGTGCATTAATTTGTTTTATTAATTTTCCTCATAAATGTGAAAATGTTCCTGTAAAAATGCAATTCTGTAGTTGCTTTACTTCGCCATATTTTGTTGCAGGCATTGCCCTCATTCACTTTAGCCTGGTAGATTGGAGAGGTAACCCTGTACAGTTGATCTCATCTCCCAAGCCATCGCCTCTAGCATATAAAGACATCATAGATGCAACAGTGTTTGAGAGCATGATTGCTACCACTATATATGAAAGAGACCCAAAGTCTAAAAGACCTGGTAAGTTTTTTATACGGTTTGCATTCTCCAAATACCAACTGGAATATATGTCTCCAAATACCAACTGGAATATATGGTTCTATTATAGGTATCCATTGTGTATTCGTATTATGGATGAATTTATGTACTTTTAATATTACATGACTGTTATATTAGAAGCTTTACATTGTAATCTATAAATGACATATTACTTTTTGGTCAAGTAGCTCATCATACTTTTTCTTCTTAAATGTCATGAAACATTTATTCTATAACCTTAATTAATTCATGCAATAGAAAGATGGTTATTTACTATTATCCTGCACTTAGTGTACTATATGTATAATAACATCAAAAAATAAATTTGATATCTATTGGTGAAATAAATATCCAGAGGATATCGCCACGATATACTCCGGGAAACCAATATGCGGAGGATATTGTGACGATTTACTCCGGGAAACCAATATGCAGGGATATTGTGACGACATACTCCGGGAAACCAGTATGCGGAGGATATTGTGACGATATACTCGGAGAAACCAATATGCGGAGGATATTGTGATGATATACTTTGTTGTTGATTTCACGCAAAATTGAACTCTATTGACATGAAATTTATTTTTCAATGATGTTAAACATTTAGTATTCACTACTAGTAAGTGTAGGATAATAAAAACATCCTATAATTTTTTCAGAATATCATTTTAATCTACTCGGTGATATTGATATATGCACTTGTTCGCTTCACTCTCTAAAAATGATATTCCTCAAAATCATAGGATATCCTATAAATATGAGTTTTATCCCCAAGAACAATATGATATTGACCACAAGAAAGTGCAGCGACAGAGTGTCATAGCATTCAAGAGGAACAAAAAAACAGTCAATATCATTCAGTCATATTTGGAGTCCTTTCTTATTTTGGATGTTATGATGGAATGCATTTATGGAATAATATATATCTCCTTTGTAGGTCCAACATCTCTAGTACAGTTCAGCATCTGGGAAACGGGAGATGTAGGCCTCCCTCAGCTTACAGACCGCATTATGTCTTCATTGAAACATGCAGCTTGCGATATCATACAAGAGTATAGACTGTTAACTGTACCAATATGTGAAGTTCCACAACATTATGCCAAAGACTTAGATTCACCATTTCACTCAGCTCCTCCCTCTCCATCTGCCAATATGAGTAAGTCACTAAAATTTAAGAATATCGAAATTTCACAAGATGTAAGATTCTGACCTTTGAATATTGTGAATTGTATATTTATGACACATGTTTTCTGCTAGTAGGTGGTAGTGAGACGTTAATGAGTGCTAAAACCCCAAACTTGGCTGTGATGAGCGCACGTCCAACTTCTCATCAGGGCTTCTTCGATGATGATGTCACAGATATACTGAACCGTAGTCGAACCAACCTTCGACAGGAAGTCCTAGAGGTGACAACTTATTTCATCTTTGTTTCAAATTATCAGTTTGAACTAGCTTTATTTTCTTCTTATCTTCTTAGTTGCATTGATACATCTCCTTGTTGCATGACTTAGATATGGCTTATACAGCTCAAGAGAGCATTCTTGATAAATAGTATACTGTATCATTAAGTTTTATTTTCTCCCTCAGGAGCAGGATGAGAGTATCGCATCTAGAGACTCCCAGAGGAGCAATGAACTGAGACTGAAGGCCCAGATGTACGAAACAGGAGAGAAAGGGGCACTTCACCAGTATTTTTTCACAATCTTACCCGAATGGCTGAACTTTTGTAAAAAACTAGGTAAACATATTGTAAATATTATTATAAATGGAAAAGTGTTCACAACCTTCCAAGGTATTCATGTTTGCTTGAGTATTCACATAAATACTGAAGAAAATACTTGGATTTGAAATATTTATTGGTTTTTCTAAACCTCTCATCACAATTAAGCACAGACCATATACATGTATATATACACTTGTATATGATAGCTCTTCAGTTGTTACACCAAGCCTTAACAATGAATTTTAGGTTCCTGAATTCTCAAAAGCTGCATGAGACCCCCACTACATGTATGTTTACACAAGTTTAATTCTACCATAGGTTCCCCATGTGTTGAGACAAGTACCCAATGTTCGCTGATATCCCGTTACTCTGTAGAGTTAGTTCTACGGGAAATGCAACATATCATCACAAACCTCTGTGCTGATTCTGCTCCTCGTGTTTTCCGCATGATTGACAGTGGTGGCCAGGAGGGGGAGCCACTGTACATGCCATATAACCCTATGAGGATGCCACTTGTAAGTTCTTGTATTTTATGAGAAATCAGAAAAACAAACCAAATTAAAGGACCAAAAATAATATGAAGCAATGACTACATTCATTAATTGTAATTATTAGTTCCGCCTTCATTTTTGGGATTATTTTAATTCACTAACTTATCATGCTTTTATCTTTCAGAACTCAGACCTGCTTGAAAGTAGCTTTGACAGGTTCACTAACTTGCAAGCTCCGGGCAAAATTCTCAATTATGTTCTGGTTGGTCGAAATGTCAGCCAATGGCGTAACTCTATTGATTATGTGGAAGCTGATGATGAAGTCAGTATTGGTTTCAGTAGATGTAAGTGAAAGTTACATTTGTTACACTTATCAGTACATGCAGGAGATGTAAGTGAAAGTTACATTTGTTACACTTATCAGTACATGCAGGAGATGTAAGTGAAAGTTACATTTGTTACACTTATCAGTACATGCAGGAGGTTTTGAATAAAATTGAATTCAAAAAGGTAAAACGGTAGAATTGGTAGAGTTTTCATCATATTTATATTCATCCCCTCTTTATTTAACAGATGCACATGTATTTAAGAATAGAAGAGTCTGTTTAGGGGATTACATAGAAATTAATTTTAATTTTTCTAGCTATTAAATCCATCCAGAAATTCAAGCCTCTTGTTGATTGGAGTCTGGAGGCATCTACCAGTAGCCTAGGGTCATACAGTGCAGGACCTGCCCCATTCTCTGGAGGTTCTCTAGCAGGAGGGAAGGCATTTGTGCCCAGACAAAGATTGGTTCTACTTACAGTCAAGGACACTCAGGTATGTTCAGTGTTAAAGGGCTTTTATTCATTCTTTATTTATTTGTTAATTTTGGGAGTTTAAAGGGACCCAACACCATGGTCACATGATCAGTCGTGTGGAGGTAAGCTCCCAGTTGAAATAAAAGCACTGTCCTCCTTTGGTTTCTGTGAAAAGTAGCTAATACCCTCATGTATTGGTCAGTTTGTGTGTCACACGACTAATCCATACCATATGCTTCATTCAACATATTTTATGCTATTGAGCTGCATATATAAACAGTACTTTGCAACTAAGGTCATACAGTATACTTACCCCTTGCAAATTGTAATTTATTGAATTCACAGTAAACCCATCAATTTTTAAGAAAACAAAGAATATTGCTCTCATGGATCTATTATTTATGTTAGACTAACTATGAAAATATAAATATGAAATAATATGTTAGCTTGAAGTCATATATAAGATGAAAATATATGTTCATGCATTTGCATTTTTCCAAAGGGAATATTCCCATGTAAGTAAATACAGGTGCAATATATAATTTATATGTATATCTATGTCATCTGTCTATACATGCGCGTATAGCCTAGTGTTACATGTGAACAAGATGGTTCTGGAAAGAAATGAGCGTGGCAGATTTGCTAAAAAGCCACATACACCACAAAAGCAAGACCAATTTGAAAGTAAGTTCATTATTCTCAAGGGTACACTCCAAGTGAAAGCTACATTGCTACAGGGTGGCCTATTATTCTGAGACAAATGTATTATCCAACGATTGTGATTTTCGAAGCTAAAATGTGATATCTTGAGCAGATGGAAATACATTCCCATGAGATATGTATATATAGTCAAAAGTGATAACTATTTATTGAGTGTAATGAAATGTATCCTTCGCTAACTGCTTTTGTTTGAGATAATTATCATGAAATATTTTTAAATTAATTTTTATGTGTGTCATTGATCCTAATCCACCCTGTAGTCTGGTGTTTGTAGAGCATTGCGACTCGTACAACTTATTCTCACAAATATCAAACCTCATTTACTAATTAATTTTTTGTGTGAATATGAAGAGTCCAAGCATTGCTTTTTTATTTTTATTGTATAGCTATATTTAGCCTTGATATCCATGATTTTTTAAAACAAAATCTCACCGTTAGATTTCAAGCTATTCATGTTTACTCATTTGTCTAATTGGAAAACAATGCAAATCTCATTTTTTCAAAAGAAAAAATTGAAATTCTAAGACGGTGAAAATCATTAAAAAATACACAGATTCAGCATTTTCCCTTATTCCTCTCCGTTAAGAAGTTTTGTAAGGTGTTGGGTCCCTTTAAAAGCACTCGGATAAACAGATAATTGTTTTTAGGAATTATTTGCAAAATTAATTCATAAAAGTGCAGTACCATTCTTCAGAACTATTTTATTTGGTTTGGTATTGTGCAGGTGTCAAATAGATTTTCTCCCCTCTTAGCTTTAACATCCACATAATGTTGCATAACATTTTTGTCTGCATGATATCTGAATTTTTCTTTGGCACATTGAATCTAGGCTTCATGTAGCAACTCCACCAGAAGATTCACATGTACTGTACTCTAAATATTCACTCTATCATCATGTGACTGCAACGTTTGACTTTTTATCGTACCTAACAAGAGGTACGATATTGTAGTCAGCTTGACGGGCGGCGGGCGGCGGAAGGGTGGCGGGCGGCGGGCGGCGTCTCACTTTTCAGCTTGTCTACAGGTTTCCAGCCAAACCATTTGAGGGATTCGTCTGAAATTTTCAGGGATGTTTCTACATATCAACGTCAAGAACTGATTAGTTTTTGGGCATTCTGGGTAAATTTTAAGGTGGCCATTTTGGATTTTCCGTCCTAAAATCTTTACTTTCAAGACTTGTCTACAGGTTTCCAGCCAAACCTTTTGAGGGATTCATCTGAAATTTTCAGGGATGTTTCTACATATCAACGTCAAGAACTGATCAGTTTAAGGGCATTCTGGTTAAATAAGGTGGCCATTTTGGATTTTCCATCTTAAAATCTTTACTTTCAAGACTTGTCTACAGGTTTCCAGCCAAACCTTTTGAGGGATTCATCTAAAATTTTCAGGGATGTTTCTACATATCAACGTCAAGAACTGATTAGTTTTTGGGCATTCTGGTTAAATTTTAAGGTGGCCATTTTGGATTTTCCGTCCTTAAATCTTCACTTTCGAGACTTGTCTACAGGTTTTCAGCCGAAACCTTTTGAGGGATTCATCTGAAATTTTTAGGGATGTTTCTACATATCAACATATTGGGCATTCTGGGTAAATTTTAAGGTGGCCATTTTGGATTTTCCGTCCTAAAATCTTCACTTTCAAGACTTGTCTACAGATTTTCAGCCAAACCATTTGAGGGATTTATCTGAAATTTTCAGGGATGTTTCTACATATCAACGTCAAGAACTGATTGGTTTTTGGGCATTCTGGGTAAATTTTAAGGGGGCCATTTTGGATTTTCCTTCCTAAAATCTTCACTTTCAAGACTTGTCTACAGGTTTCCAGCCTAACCATTTGAGGGATTCATCTGAAATTTTCAGGGATGTTTCTACGTATCAATGTCAAGAACTGATTAGTTTTTGGGCATTCTGGGTAAATGTTAAGGCTGCCATTTTAGATTTTCTGTCCTAAAATCTTGTCTATCGAGGCTTGTCTACAGGTTTCCAGCCAAACCGTTCAAATTTTTTACATATGTTACACAGTGATAAGTTCTAGAGCTGATTAACTTTTCTGCGGCCATCTTGCTTTCTTGGTCAACAAGACCACAATGCTGTGTTTTAGGTACGATATTGTTCACGTCTGTGCCTTGTTCTATGATACATTTACACTTCAGCTTGAGCTGTATTCCTACAACTGGGCCACCGATATGGCAAAAACACTGGCGAGCAAGTTTTATAGGCTAGTCCAGTGGCACAAGGCACGTTCCTACCTGCTTAACAGTATCGTGAGTCAGAAAATGGGACTATTTCACCACCAGAAACTGCAGAATGCATTAAAGGTAAAGAAACTTCATGTCAAATAAATATCACGAGAGCACACAAATAATTGGAAGGTTATGAACCATTAACCTTTTCACTACATGTCATGTACACTCTTCAATCTAGTCATACTAAGTCAAATTACAGTTGACCAGAATCCAGCTACCCAATCGAAATAGTAGTCATTAAATGTTATGCTTTCATTCGTATTAGAAATACTAGAATTAAGATTCTCAAACAGCCATTTTATTGTCCCAAATAGATTAATGAAATTGCATGGGTCTTAGAAATTGTCTCAGAATTGCCACGAGATTGTATCTAATTACCATGAGATTGTACCCAATTGCTACGAGATTATACTTAATTGTCACGGGAGTGTACCTTATTGCCACAAGATTGTACCCAATTGCCATGAGATTGTACCCAATTGCTATGAGATTATACTTAATTGTCACAGGAGTGTACCTAATTGCCACGAGATTGTACCCAATTGTCACAAGACCTTATCCAATTGCCACAATTGTACCCAATTGCCAAAATGTGATACCCACTTCTACCCAGTCTGTCCCTTAACTCAATAAATGCTTTGACATATCCATATCCCATGACATGACAGGTTATTAATCAAGTACACAAAGATCAACTGTCAATGAGAAAAATACTCTCAAGAACCCAAGAAGGTGTTCAGAAATGTGCAAGGAACACAGGAGACTGCTTATTTATGTAGAAAGCATCCTAATTAAAAAAAAAACTGGATATAATAGAAATTAGAAAGTAGGAATTAAATATTAACATGTAGGTTTCTGATATTATTTGGTTTTTGTGAAACATAAAGCTCTTTATAATGATAAACCATATGATGTTTTGTAGGATAGTTCATTCAAAGAGTGTCCAGGAGAGGTGGATATGCTAGTCAAGTACACATCACCTGAAGCTAAAGACAAAGAGAAGGCAAGGAGCAGACAAGGTACACTTACTGTAGTGCATTCTGCGAACTGTATGTCTAACTGACAATTAGAAGCCATCTTGGGAGATCTTTTTCAAAAATCTTCTTTCTTTGCCTGAATATTGAAGGAAAAATGAAATGCAAATGTTTTGATGTGGAAAAGGATTAATTTCCAGATTCACATGTTTTGGAAAAAGTATTCTGAATATTAAAGAATTATTGTTTGATTTTTGATAATTCTAGAATCATATTTTTCAGAAAATATACTTTGTTTCCTTAAATATACATGTTAAGCAGTAGTTTCTGTCATTCCAGTGTCAGGAAGTGGTGGTATGTTCGGCTATGGCCACCCTGGCCTGCACTCATATGATCAGGTCCTTATGAATAGCAAGCCTACTAAACCCATGCATAAGATGCCCTATGGTAACTATAGAGACCTTGTTCATCGCCATGGCAACCAGCTACTGGAGGTGAAACATGTTGATCAAAAAGGTACAGTTATAACATATTGGCAGATTACAGAATTTTTGTTTACCATAAGGCGGTATTTAGAAACATCATTATCAGCTTTTGCATCTTCAGAATGTTTTCTTTCATGGCTAGTGTGATTGGATTGTGATTTTGAATTCTGATGACTTCATCAGAAAGCATTATGTCTTGCACACATCTTGTACACATCATTTTTTACATAATTTGCCCTTAAATTAAGTCATCATTATACAATTTCTGCAAAATGGCTTATAACCTATCCAGCAAAGCCAATCATAAGTTTTATAATTTTATACTTAATAGTATTGTACAGAAATACAAAGTAAATTAATAAATTATTTGATATAATAATTTGATAGTTTATTATGTCACCACCAAAAGTGGTGACATATTGTTATGGTCTCCGTTTTTTTGCGACGGCGGTTGGCGTCCGGCGGTTGGTGGTTGGCGTCCGGCGGTTGGTGTCCGGCGGTTGGCGTCTGTAACAATTTCTTACAACTTCCTATAACTTAACAAATACTGTTTAGACTGACTTCAATTTTTTTCTAAATCATCTACATGTTCTCAGAAGTTCAAATCTGACTTTAGATTTGACATTTGACCTTCAATGACCTTCTCAAGGTCAAAAAGGTCTTTTTTCAACTTGCTTCACATTGACTAAATTTTTTTTCAAAATCATCTACATGTTCTCAGAAATTCAAATCTGACTTTAGATTTGACATTTGACCTTCAAATCTGACTTTAGATTTGACATTTGACCTTCAATGACCTTCTCAAGGTCAAAAAAGGTCAAGAAGGTCTGTTTTCAACTTGCTTCAAATTGACTAAATTTTTTTTTCAAAATCATCTATGTGTTCTCAGAAATTCAAATCTGACTTTAGATTTGACTTAAGATTTGACATTTGACCTTCAATGACCTTCTCAAAGTCAAAAAAGGTCAAAAAGGTCTTTTTTCAACTTGCTTCAAATTGACTAAATTTTTTTTTCAAAATCATCTACATGTTCTCAGAAATTCAAATCTGACTTTAGATTTGACATTTGACCTTCAATGACCTTCTCAAGGTCAAAAAAGGTCAAAAAGGTCTGTTTTCAACTTGCTTCAAATTGACTAAATTTTTTTTTCAAAATCATCTACGTGTTCTCAGAAATTCAAATCTGACTTAAGATCTGACTTTAGATTTGACATTTGACCTTCTCAAGGTCAAAAAGGTCTGTTTTCAACTTGCTTCAAATTGACTAAAAAAAATTTTCAAAATCATCTACGTGTTCTCAGAAATTCAAATCTGACTTTAGATTTGACTTAAGATTTGACATTTGACCTTCAATGACCTTCTCAAAGTCAAAAAAGGTCAAAAAGGTCTTTTTTCAACTTGCTTCAAATTGACTACATTTTTTTTTCAAAATCATCTACATGTTCTCAGAAATTCAAATCTGACTTTAGATTTGACATTTGACCTTCAATGACCTTCTCAATGTCAAAAAAGGTCAAGAAGGTCTGTTTTCAACTTGCTTCAAATTGACTAAATGTTTTTTTCAAAATCATCTACATGTTCTCAGAAATTCAAATCTGACTTTAGATTTGACATTTGACCTTCAATGACCTTCTCAATGTCAAAAAAGGTCAAAAAGATATTTTTTCATCTTGCTTCAAATTGACTAAATTTTTTTTCAAAATCATCTACATGTTCTCAGAAATTCAAATATGACTTTAGATTTGACACTTGACCTTCAATGACCTTCTCAAGGTCAAAAAAGGTCAAAAAGGTCTTTTTTCAACTTGCTTCAAATTGACTAATTTTTTTTTCAAAATCATCTACATGTTCTCAGAAATTCAAATCTGACTTTAGATTTGACATTTGACCTTTAATGACCTTCTCAAGGTCAAAAAAGGTCAAAAAGGTCTGTTTTCAACTTGCTTCAAATTGACCAATTTTTTTTTCAAAATCATCTACATCTTTTCAGAAGTTCAAATTTGACTTTACAAGTTCTCAGAAATTCAAATCTGACTTAAGTTTGAACTCATAATATTGTGAGCAACTAGGTGGTGACATTTTGTCATGTTAATGCCTTGTATTATTTCTGTCCTTAGAGCTGGATAAACAGATGAAGCTAGAAAACCTGTATGTGATGTGGCAACAAAGAGCAGGTCATGCTGGGCTCCCTATTACTGAAGACATGTTGGAATTACTGAAACAGTCATCAAGACTAGTACACTATGTGGCCACACCATTGCTGTTCAGTCCTCACTGGCGCAAAGAAGTAGGCTGAATTTTTATTCATAATGTTAAAATGTTACACACAACATTTTAGAACCCAACTACTCAGGTATATCATTATATAAACATTAGTTAAATCCTAGTTAATGATTTAATGTTTACCTTTCAGGTGACAAAGATATTCATGTAGTGTACTACATGATATTTAGAACCCAAATAATCTGCTACACCGCCCAGTCCAGTCCAGTTTATATAAACAACCAGTCCATTAAGTGTAGTTAAACCCTAGTTAAAGACATAATGTTCTCTTCCAGGTGATGGGCCTGAGGAAGCCTCAAGGGGTCGTCCCCCAGCAGGCTGCCCCCATACACCCTGAGGTCCCAACACCAGCCCCAGCCCCTACCAAATCTGTAAGTCTTTACATGTACCTTCCTGTTGAAATGACTTCTTGAAATAAGTAAATTACTTTTTAGTAATAAGAATTTTAGGATCATATTTGTAAGTATTGTAAAAAGATCATTCTTATCATGGACATCATAAATTTAAGAATGCTTGCAGAAATGCACCCCTGACTTTGGCCTGGCAATGGAGTGTTCCTATCAAGGCGTGTTGATAAGTTTTGAATAAGTGTAAATTAATAATGGTTCGCCGCAGAGAGTGGTGTTCTCATATATACAGGGTTTCCACGTTTCAATATATATTAGCCCCAATTTCTGACTCTTCTTAATGCCAACCCTCTATTGATAGAGATCCAGGCACAGTTCAGGTGCCAGTATAAAGAGTCTGCGCTCAGACAGCTTACAGAGCCTTAACAAGATCAAGCCCCATCTATCTGATGTGCGTAACAGGCACATCCCAGAGGAAATCTGGCATGGTGAAATAAAAGGAACATTCATGCAGCAGTACATCACTTATGTACAATCCCTGGGCTTCCTACAGATCAGGACAAGAGCTGCTTCTCCTAAACGCCTGTAAGATAAACGTTACACTTCATCTTCATTAACAAAGTCAAAGATACACTTTTGAATTTATGCTCTACCAAAATAATTCTATTAGATCAATTTTTCTTTCTGAATTTAAAGCACAGATAGTAAGATAGTAAGGGGGTCATCATTTTAACTGACAAAAACATTTAGAAATATTTCAAGTTTAAATCTTGTAATACTTTTGCTTACAAGGTCCCGTCACATGAGGCCAGTGAGTGGTGCTGACCAGAACAGACGCAAGCATCCTTCAGATGATGATAAAGCCAAGTCTAACTCTATCTATTTGCAGAAGACACTTCCAGGAGGTATGAAAGACACATGTGCTTGTATTATGTCTTTTATTATGCAATTGTAATTTTCATGTTTTATTGCATAAAGATTACAAGTACATTTTTATGTCACCACCAAAAGTGGTGACATATTGTTATGGTCTCCGTTTTTTTGCGACGGTGGTTGGTGGTTGGAGGTTGGCGTCTGGCGTCCGGCGTCTGTAACAATTTCTTACAACTTCCTATAACTTAACAAATACTGTTTAGATTGACTTCAATTTTTTTCTAAATCATCTACATGTTCTCAGAAGTTCAAATCTGACTTTAGATTTGACATTTGACCTTCAATGACCTTCTCAAGGTCAAAAAGGTCTTTTTTCAACTTGCTTCACATTGACTAAATTTTTTTTCAAAATCATCTACATGTTCTCAGAAATTCAAATCTGACCTTAGATTTGACTTTAGATTTGACATTTGACCTTCAAATCTGACTTTAGATTTGACATTTGACCTTCAATGACCTTCTCAAGGTCAAAAAAGGTCAAAAAGGTCTGTTTTCAACTTGCTTCAAATTGACTAAATTTTTTTTTCAAAATCATCTATGTGTTCTCAGAAATTCAAATCTGACTTTAGATTTGACATTTGACCTATAATGACCTTCTCAAGGTCAAAAAAAGGTCAAAAAGGTCTGTTTTCAACTTGCTTCAAATTGACCAAATGTTTTTTTTCAAAATCATCTACATCTTTTCAGAAGTTCAAATTTGACTTTACAAGATTTGACATTTGACCTTCAATGACCTTTTCAAAAAAGGTCAAAAAGGTCTTTTTTCAACTTGCTTCAAATTGACTACATTTTTTTTTCAAAATCATCTACATGTTCTCAGAAATTCAAATCTGACTTTAGATTTGACATTTGACCTTCAATGACCTTCTCAAGGTCAAAAAAGGTCAAAAAGGTCTTTTTTCAACTTGCTTCAAATTGACTAATTTTTTTTCAAAATCATCTACATGTTCTCAGAAATTCAAATCTGACTTTAGATTTGACATTTGACCTATAATGACCTTCTCAAGGTCAAAAAAGGTCAAAAAGGTCTGTTTTCAACTTGCTTCAAATTGACCAAATGTTTTTTTTCAAAATCATCTACATCTTTTCAGAAGTTCAAATTTGACTTTACAAGTTCTCAGAAGTTCAAATCTGACTTTAGATTTGACCTTTGACCTTCAATGACCTTCTCAAGGTCAAAAAGGTCTTTTTTCAACTTGCTTCAAATTGACTAATTTTTTTTCAAAATCATCTACATGTTCTCAGAAGTTCAAATCTGACTTTAGATTTGACATTTGACCTTCAATGACCTTTTCAAGGTCAAAAGGGTCTTTTTTCAACTTGCTTCAAATTTACCTATTTTTTTTTCAAAATCATCTACATGTTCTCAGAAGTTCAAATCTGACTTTACATTTGACATTTGACCTTCAATGACCTTCTCAATGTCAAAAAAAGTCAAAGAGGTATTTTTTCAACTTGCTTTAAATTGACCAAATTGTTTTAGGTGGTGACATTTTGTCATGTTAATGCCTTGTATATTTTTAAAATTCTGACAAAGGTTACAATTTTGCCAAAAAAGATAACCATAGACTTCATGTTCATAGACTTAAGTACATGTAACAAACATTTACATTTAATAGTTAATACACATTTTTCTATCTATTTGTTTTTCTGCCCAGGTATAATGTTGATGGAGGTTGGTTACAGTGAGGTGTATTTCTGTGTGAGACTATATGCCTTTGAGAGCTCCAGAATCCCTTGTGGCAGGAGTGTCAACCCACAGGTAAAATAGACACACTTACTCTTCAGCCTCCAATTTTGATCAATGAATGAGCATGTTATATATCTTTGGTCGATTTTGGTCATTTTATGTAAGATTCGATTTGGCAGACACAATGAATTTAAATTGAGTTCAAATTATACAAAGTTAAGGAGGCTGTATCTAAATCTAAATGTGGAATATTGGTGCTATACCCTATGGATGTGAAGGTAGTCTGGAAGGTGAAGGCGAGGGACTAAAAAATCTTGGATATTACCCTTGTTAGTTGATACATATTACCGGTATCTACATATTTCAGTTGGCAATTCTTTTCACTGATGAATGTGACAGAATGAAGGACTTAGTGCATGTGCACTCATTTGCCTATGACTTCCACCTGCGATATATCCAGACGTACATAGCTGGGGGTCAGGGGGCAATGAAGACTGGCTACCACCTGAGGAACTTCCTACAAGATTTTGTGCAGCTCTACCCCTATCCTCCTAGCTTCTCTCGCAACTATATCAATGAAGGTAAGAAGACTTTGAATTGGTTAAGTTTTTGTGAGCAATCAAATGACATCATGGTAACATAGAAAGAAGGTGTTATTGAAAAGGAAATGGAATGTATTGCCCTGAAAGTGCAGTAGATTCATAGGATCCTGGCTTTGTGATTTCCCTCCAGGAATTCAACCCTCCTCTGATAAAGTTTCAAAATCATAATAGGATATAATACAGTAAAAGATTCCCAACTCAAAATTGCAAAATCATGCCAAATATCCTCCACACGAATTCTGGAAAAATTCTGGAAAGAGCACTGGCTTGAGAACCAATAAGAGTGTCGGACTTGTAAAAGTCCACCTAAATACAACTGAGAAATTCTGTCCACAATTTTTCAGCCACAATAACTATAGAGAACACGAACAACCCCAGCCACCACTTGTACAACTACATGTTAAATCACTCGGATAAGCTCTTTAATATGAAGGCAATCAAGATGGTGCCTGTCTCTGACTCTGATGCTGATGGGGTGAGTTTGGAAAATGTCACTATCCTTGTAAATCTTTTTCGTTGTGTGTCTTAAATGTATTTGATAAATATGCGAGCATAAATGATAAATACTTTCATTTACAAAAAAATTAAAATCATTTCCTATGATCATGTTCCATTTTCCAAGTATCCACTTTTCATTAGTCTTTGTGGTTAATTTGTTACTGATATTTTGATATGAAATGTTGCAATTATTTATTTATTGATGATTTATTTTAATATTTTGTCATTATTTCCTCATTAATAAATAATTCATATTATAGGAGAGTGATTTTGCATTAGTGTGCCAGTCAGTGACAGAATCAGATGGTGAAGAGAGTGACGTAACCAAACCCAAATTAGTAGATCACAATGTAGGGCTTGTCATATCCCATAATGCACCTGGATTTATACAGCAGACGGAAGCTGAAAGGAACACATTGAAATTGCAGTATTTTATCATTTTGACGAGTCGCCGAGAACATTTCCCAAAACTGACCTTAGAGAAGAAGTTAGGGATCTTCAAAAACCCTTTGAAAACCTTTTATGCAGGTACATGTATATTTCTGTTAATTAATCAAGATTTATGGTTGTGAACTTATATTCGACGAGGACATAAAAGCTAAAAATATTTTTTGAGAATCTATTGGTAAATAGTTGATGATATTACTGTTGTACTATTTGAGAAAAAGGAAAATATTCATCATCTATGGATAAAAGCTGTACCTTTTAGTGTTTCATTCCACTTCAAATGTATGAATCTGAGTTTATACTATATGATTCATAGGTCCTACAAATGATGAGTCAATGTTCACCCCAGAAGATCTTCATGGTCCTCCAGTGACTCAACACATTGGAGTAAGACAGGAATCTGTCAACTACCTGGGATTCTCTAACATGCACCAGACCCCCATATACACTGTGCTGATTCAGGAGACTGACAAAGCCAGGTAACACTTTACCACATTTTTATGTCCCCACCACATAGTGTGGGGCCATATTGTCGGCCTAGGCGCGTCCGTCCGTCTGTCCGTCCGTCTGTCCGTCCGTCCGTCTGTCCGTCCGTACGTCCGAGAGTTTTCTCCAAAACCGCTACAGATATCACCTTCAAATTTTCAGGGATAACTTATGAGTGCATACAGATGTGGATGAAAAAAAATTAACTCGATACCTACTTCCTGTCGGCCATTTTGAAGTCAAATGCTAAAATCCTTGTCTGCAAACTTTAAGAAAAACGGCTTCACAGTTGCTTTTAAAACTTTAACATCTTGTTCAGCTCACTTCATTCTAGATCTGATTAGGTTTTGGACCTGTTAGCTCAGTCATGTCAGCCATTTTGAATGTCTTAAGAAAAGTTAGCGCACGATAATACTTTGTATCATATTGAATGGTGTTTTTGAGTTTTCATATTCTAACTATTTAGTAGCTTTATAAATAATTTCAGATGTACTTTGTTGTTAAAGCCTATGTTGTTGTTAACAGTATTTATATGTGATAATTTTGTAAAAAGAAATCAGCAAAAACTCATGATCACTTTTTTATTGTCAGCCATTTTGGATTTTTCCGTCCTAAAATCTTGTCTGTGGAGTCTTGTCTACGTGTTTTCAGGTGAACCGTTTGGTGGATCAATTCTTGATTTTCAGGGATGATTCTTAGTATAAAAATCTAGATCTGATTAGTTTTTTGGCATTCTGGGTAAATGTCAAGGCAGCCATTTTGGATTTTCCGTCCTAAAATCTTGTCTGTAAAGTCTTGTCTACGCGTTTTCAGGTGAACTGTTTAGTAGATCAATTTCAAATTTTCAGGGATGATCCTTAATATGAAAATGTACAACTGATTAGTTTTTTGGCATTCTGGGTAATTGTCAAGGCAGCCATTTTGGATTTTCCGTCCTAAAATATTGTCTGTAAAGTCTTGTCTACGCATTTCCAGGTGAACAGTTCTGTAGATCAATTTCAAATTTTCAGGGATGATTCTTAGTATGAAAATCTAGATCTGATTAGTATTTGGGCATTCTGGGTAAATGCCAAGGCAGCCATTTTGGATTTTCCGTCCTAAAATCTTGTCTGTAGAGTTTTGTCTACGCATTTCCCGGTGAACCGTTTGGTAGATCAATTTCAAATTTTCAGGGATGATTCTTAATATGAAAATCTAGATCTGATCAGTTTTTTGGCATTCTGGATAAATGTCAAGGCAGCCATTTTGGATTTTCTGTCTTAAAATCCTGCCCATAAAGTCTTGTCTATGCGTTTTTAGGTGAACCGTTTTGTAGATCAATTTCAAATTTTCAGGGATGATTCTTAGTATGAAAATCTAGATCTGATTAGTTTTTTGGCATTCTGGATAAATGCCAAGGCAGCCATTTTGGATTTCCGTCTTAAATTCCTGCCCGTAAAGTCTTGTCTACGCATTTTTAGGTGAACCGTTTTGTAGATCAATTTCAAATTTTCAGGGATGATGTCTTAGTATGAAAATCTAGATCTGATTAGTTTTTTGGCATTCTAGGTAAATTTTAAGGTGGCCATTTTGGATTTTCCATCATCAAATTGTGTCGGTAAAGTCTTGTCTACTCATTTTTAGGATAACCATTTGACAGGATCACCCATAGGTGGGGACATTTTGTACACATTTGTGTTCTTGTGTTTATTTATCACTTAGAATGACATGCACTTGACTATTTCTTGAAAAGATATTGTAAATGATTCTTTGAGTTTGATCATGTATTTCATATTTTGTCATGAAAAACTATTGAAAATCAGGAATCATAATTCATGATACTTTCGAAAATGACTTCCAGATAACTTGCAGTTTCATTTTAAATGGATGAATTTATCTTAGAGTATGGACACCAGTTCTATTGAAAACTTGCTAAAAAATGTTGGGCTATTTTATTTTTAGTAAGAAGATCCGTGAGATGGTGGATAGTGCTATTTCCCAATGTAGAAGGGACACTCTATGGCAACGTATGTTGCTAGGGGACCAGTTGGTAGATGATGGGAGGCGTAAGAAACGTAGCGAAACTGATGAAAGTCAAGACAGTGTAAGATAATTTTCCATACAATCTATAAATGGAAAATTTTCCATTTAAGCTATATTATAATTTTGTATACTCAACAAAATGTTCCCATATTCCTCTCTTTTGTTCATCTCATTTTAATAGATCTTAATGTATTAATGAAGCACAATTCAAATCAAATATTCATGTATATTATTGTTCAATTCAATTCAATATTCACATGTTTATGAGCAATATGTGACCCATCTGTCATCAACCAATCCTTGCCATTGTCATTATTATCCCATCGAACAAAGTTCGGAGGGATATAGGGAACGCCTCCGTACGTACGTCCGTCCGTCTGTCCGTCCGTCCGTCCGGGCAATAACTCAAATACCGTTGGCCCGGTTTTGTTCATATTTTGTACACATATACCCTATGGGGGTAGAAGTTCTGCTCGAAAGCCGATTTTCAAAATGGCTGCTCATTTCAAAATGGCGGCCATTTTAGTGCCGATTTTACAGTAATTTAGGTACAATATGTAAAACTGTAATAGCAATATGTTTTAAGTGTAAAAAAATTATAAAGGACATTAATAAAGCTACAAATGTAGATATTAAAAAAAGCACATGGCAGCCATCTTGAAAAATGGCGGCCTTTACTCGTTATTTTATGATTTTTGCTGTAACTCGAAAAGTAGTGGAGCGATTTTGTTCATATTTGGTATGTGAATACTATAAGCATGGCACACTGTCCTGTGACACTTTTGGTAGAAGGCGGCCATTTTGAAAAAAAATTTGAAAAATGGCCGCCATTTTAACATATTTTACTATAACTCGAAAAGTAGTGGAGCGATTTTGTTCATATTTGGTATGTGAATACTATAAGCATGGCACACTGTCCTATGACACTTTTGGTAGAAGGCGGCCATTTTTCAAAATGGCCGCCATTTTAACGTATTTTACTATAACTCGAAAAGTAGGGAAGCAATTTTGTTCATATTTGGTATGTGAATACTATAAGCATGGCACACTGTCCTATGACACTTTTGGTAGAAGGCAGCCATTTTGAAAAATGGTCGCCATTTTAACGTATTTTACAATAACTCGAAAAGTAGTTCAGCGATTTTGTTCATATTTGGTATGTTTCATATTTTATATGTGAATACTATAAGCATGGCACATTGTCTAATGACACTTTGGGTAGTAGGCGGCCATTTTGAAAAATGACCACCATTTTTACGTTTTTACTATAACTTGAAAAGTAGTGAAGCGATTTTGTTCATATTTGATATGTGAATACTCACGAGCCTTGCACACTGTCTCATGACACTTGGATAGTAGGCAGCCATTTTAAAAAATGGCTGTCATTTTTACATTTTTTACTTATTTCACAAGTACATGTGTGCGATTTTTCAAAAATTTTATAGATGGCTACTTAAAGCATATTATTTCTTCTGATGACAACTTGGCTAACCATTTTGAAAATGGTGGCCTTTCTGGTGTGTTGTTTTATGATATTTGCTATATATTTCGTTTGTAAAATGCCAGCCATTTCTGTTCGATGGGATTCGCTACGCTTTGGCGTTGACGTTGTTCTGGTTCTAATATATGCTACATGTCACTGTAACTTCCTATACTTTCCTATACTCTTGTAGGGTCTTACCAAGTTAACATTCATTGAATTCCAAGAGCTCATGCAAGTTGTTGAGAGGGAATCACTGAGGCAGATGGATCCACGATTGACCCCATTACACAATATGAGTCAGTCTTGGTACAAGGGCTTGGTCAGAGTCTTGATGAACAAATACTCTGAAACACACAGATACTTCGCTAGCCCTGATGGGAAAGTCCAGTGTGTGGTAAGAGATTTTAAAATAAGAACCTTTTGTGTATGTAGTGAATTCATTCTAATGGTTATTGTGATTTACAGTAGAGCCTTGGTGATTGTGGAATTCGCAGCCATCGTAACTCTAATGACAGTTAAAGATTTTGGAGTGAGAATTTTAAAAAAGATTTCAAAGAAAATCGTAAACAATTTATTGTGTATCCTTAGAATACAGTACTTATGTACATTGAAGTTGGCTGATAGTAAATTATGATTTCTATTTGTCAGGTTACATATGATTTACTTGTTCAGTACAAATATTCAACTTTTTGAATGACCAACTTCTTGGACAAGTCACAAGAATTTCCAAGAATGTACAAATATATTTATTTGGTTATTGGAATGGTTGTTAATTTTGCGATATGATGTTGGAGTTCAACTTGTTTCAGGCTATTCTGAACCCGAATTACTTGGACACATTTGCTATGTTGACAGTGGATTCCATCAACAATAAATCTGTGAGTATAATTAAAGCTAAAAATGTTATTGAAATATAACAATGGAATATAATTTCTATAATCTTAAGATGTAAGGTACAAGTATGATGTACATTTAGACTAATTGTAAATGGCACCAATGGTTATTATCCCAACGAACTTCGTTCGTTAGGGATATAGTGAAGCCCTCCGTCCGTCCGTCCGTCAGTCCGTCAGTCCGTCAGTCAGTCCGTCCGTCTGTCCGGAAGATAACTCAAATACTAGTTGACAGATTTTCTTCATATTTAGTGGAAAGATGTATATTGGGGATTAGTTTTACGCAAAAAAATGATGGCCACCGCTTTAAAAATGACGGGACTTTTTCGTAAAAATCATAAATTTTTCATTCTAAACCAAAGTAATTAATATTATTGTTTGAAATTTTGGTAGTGTATTCACAACATTTATCTATTTCACATATATTCCGTGTTTTTCATCCTGACCCCCAGGGGCCATGTATGGGGGGACAGGAAAACAGAAATTTTCGCTAATTTTTAGATCTTTCTGAAGTATAGCTTTATTATACTCAAATGAAAGGCAATTAAGAGTAGATTGCAAATATTGTATCTTTTTTCTGATTCGAGCCTTGTAAAATTCAAAATGGCCGTCTAATGTACGATTTCGCAATAATTTTTCGATCCCTTCAAAGTATGGCTATATTATACTCAAATTGGAGTAGATCACAATTATGGTATTATTTTTCAGATTTGTACCTCAGAAAATTCAAAATGGCTGCTTTGCAGTAATTTGCAATTCTAAAATCTAATTTTTTCATTTTCAACCAAAGTAATGAGTATAATTGATTGGAATTCGGTAATTGATATTTTGTTCGTTGGGATTTGCTACTCCGCGGAGTTGCCGTTATCTAGTTAATGACATGTTTATCCAACAGTCCAATTCTAAAATTGTTACACTAATTTATATAACTTTACACAACAAAAGTCTGCTTCAAAAATCTGTCAAACAAAATAGCATAATTTATATTGATGGTCTCAATGTTTTAGGAACTTTGTGTTGTGTACAAGGAGCCCATCTTAGACAGCAGACTTCCAGCAAATAGTGGCAAACAGATCTACATGCAGAGCCATCTGGAAGGTTTCGTCAATGCCTGTTGCTTCCATATGTGGACTGGCTTGTTGTAGGAAGTCATTCTTGAGATATAAACATTTCAAGTCCATGTTTTTTGTGATTTCACATTGTATATCTGAGCACCATTCGAGTGATTGAAAGGGTGTTTAAAAGGTATTACTATGAGGGGATATTGAGATATAACCTGAAGTTATGGTTGACAAGAAACGTAACATATGGAAACATATGGGAACATAATGTACAACATTGATACAGAAAGAACTGTTGTAAATCATTATTATGGAACTGACAAAAAGATGATGGGTAGATATTTAAACATTTTAAGTGAGAGTTCAAAAATGGAACAGAGTTAGTAAAGCATAATATTCAAGAGTTATGTCAACTGGAGAACATGTATATGATAAAGTAATATGACATGTATATTGCAAATTGACTTTGTTCACAAAAGTGACACTTAGAGATGTGTCAGATGTTGCATATAAACAGTAGGTGTATAAGTGAGATATAACACAGTATGCTGTGTAACAAGTCATGGCAAATTCAAAAAATAAAAAGAATACAATCAATCGTACGGGTATTGTAAAATCATAAAGATGCAAAAAATGGACATTTGAGTGACTTGTTGGGTGATCATGAAGATAGAGATGAAATTTGGTCAGAATGGCTTTGCTGACTCAGTTGGTATTGTAACATTCAGTGGGCATATAGTAACATTTTATGGTAAAATGTTACTTAAAAGATATTTCATTTGAAATGTTGAAAAAGTGATATTAGTTTCATTGATGAAGCTTATCTTAAGTTTGATTAAGTTTTGATAAATGTAACCAAAATTGACACATTAACAGAAACTACCAAAGAACCTGCCATCTACTTGAGCCACCAAACACATTTCATTGTCAACCTCAAGGGTAGTGTGTATTATTCAAATCCAGTGTGCTGTATAAGTATATATTCTGTGTGACTTCAGCAATGTAAATACTGCACACCAATGTATTGGGCAACTAAGAAAACTGAATTGCATAAAATGCTAGCAAGTCAGATTGATCAGTTTGATAAAGTAACAAAAAGTAAAAATTATTTGGTCAAAGCAACTTAAGTTTGGCTTTCAGATTTTACTTAAGTATTTATTGTGAATGAGTTATGGAAGCTGATCTGTGATATTTGGAGCGAAATACATCAATCTTCATGCACCATTTGTCATAATATAACCACCCCCTCCCACATGTGCAGGGTTTATGGATTGAACGTTTTAGTTTCTTTAGGTGTCTTGGTCTGATAATGCCCAGATGCAAATTTCACATTTGTGACTCCTCACTGACCATTGAGATGAAATAGGGGATAATATTCCCTTATTGGTGGAGGGATGTTGTGGGGATGAAATTGGTCTTTGGACATATGGTTCATTACATATTCAGTCCTGCATCTGGGTATGATAATCAACATTAGGACAACTTGGAGTCTAGGACATGTTAAATAAATTATTTTTAAATTGAGACTATACTGCACTTCAAATGTTGGGTAAATGTATATTACTTTGAGAAATGGCTGCAAGGAAACATTAGAAAATAAAACACATGTACTGTAAGATGGATTCATGATTAAGATCTCAAAGGACTTTCTTGTTTCTCAATTTTCAGGGTATATGAAAGAGAATATAAAAATATTTGTATCATATCTTTCTTAAATATGAAAGTAAATTATCATAAACTTAGTGATATATGTAGATGATAATGCTACAAGTACTGTTTGATAAAATTTGAAAAGTATTTTTGCTAGGTTACGAACACTAAAAATAATTGTCATATAAATCATTTTCTGGTCCATGCAGTTTTAAAACTTGTGTCTTATACACTGCAGGATGAAACCAACTGGATTTGTGGAAATAAAATGGTCGAAAAAGTATTCAATATTGAAAACCTGTGATTTCAGGATAAGTAAAATCTTGATTCCAAATATTTCACCATACAAAATTCTGATTGTCGCAAGTTTGCATGGCTAAGTATTTGGAATCCAGATTTTGATTTAGATGAAATCTAAGATTTATCAATTTTTTGTCCACCCTTCAGGATGAGTCTAACTCCAGTTAGTTCCACCCTGCTGTGAATCATTGTTTTTAAAACCCTCTAAAAAGGGAATTGGATGAAGAATTATTTGAATTTGTTATTACACAAGTAATATGATACTTATTAGGGAGTTTAAGATTAGCGTAAATAACCCATTTACCTATACCTATACGTAGTTTGTTATTACACTAAGCGGTATTTTACCTAAGTTACAGGGTTTACGATACGTAATTACCTATAAATGGCCGAAGATAGGTAATTCGAAAACGTATGTTTTTATCAAACAAATTGTGTCATTTCTAGATCAAATATCATCCATTAAACTTTAAAATAGTAACACCAAACATTTCTCATTCGATCTGCATAGAAATTAAGTGGTCGAACACATTCATTGATGCGATAAACGATGCCATGTGATGATGCATGAAATTGTTGAATTTACAAATTCTTCATCAGTTTTGCTTATTGTAAATGTATGAAATCAGCCATTATATCGTGGTTTTAATTGTTTAACTTTACTATTTGGCCTCTCTCATTGCTGGATCATGCTAGAAATTTAACATTTCGGCTTAAGTCACTGCCCCATTAGCGGACCCTCAAGCATCACCCCCTCCCAACTACAGTAGCTACACCACACACCCTCTGAAGTATATAACAATTCTTGGAGGTGACATGTACTGGTATATGCTATATAAGCCATCGCATGGTTTTTATTCTATGATTAGGAGTTAATTTTATCATAAATTGTAGCATACGGTTTCGTAGCCTTTTACGTTAATCTTAAACTCATTTTGCAATACGCATTACCTATACGTATCCGTAACAAACATATGGATAGGGATAGGTACACGTATATTTTTACGCTAATCTTAACCTCCCTACTGTCTATATTTTACTTGCTCAGTGATAAAACAGTGCACTAAATAAAATATGACTCATGTTTTGTAATAAATAATATACTATTATCATTATACAGAAGGGGCACTGAACAATAAAAAGGAATCCAAAATCAAAACTTGAAATTGTGTTCAGTTATATATTACATGAGATAAATGTTACCATGGATATGGTGTGTCATGAATACTAAACAGACATCATCAACAGTGAGCATTTTGAGCCCCATGCCCCATGAAAATACCACAAAGTTTACTCGTACACATATCCACATTTCCTTACCCTCTAAACCACCCACCATTGTTTAAAATGCTTTTTGGAAGTGCAACTTTGACAAATGAAAAGTATTTCCTTGAATTACCTCAACATCTGATTAATACATGCTATTTTTTAGATTTTGAGCATTCCTACCATATTTCATCTGATGTATGACTAGACATGTGACTGATGATACTCATTAATCAAGCATGGAAGTTGATACTTATACTATTTAATTTCCTGGCAAATATTTTAGTTGGATAACCTACCTAAGTATGAGATTAAGTTGCTTTGTATCACCCATCCACTATTTGATTAATGGGATTATATGTGAATTAAGTGTTGAACAAGAGATAGCATGCTTATATGGCAGTACCAGTGAAGATTCTCAATATGATCATTCCAACTGACTCCCTTTCCTCAGATCATGATTAAGTACAATAAAACAAGTGTATGTGGACACCACATGTCACACATAGATTTTCCACTTAAGTGTTGCACTTATAGAAGCATCATAGAGCCATTTTTGAGCTGTTCTAAGTGACAGGTTTTACTGGTCTTTACTTAATCATTCCTCATTTTTTACAATTAGAATAACTGAGGCATTGTTTTTATGTACATATATCGCATTTATTCAGTTACAGTATCATACAATAATATTAAGGTAACTAACATATTTCTAAAACTTCTTTCATTCTACAGCGAACATGCACTTGTACATAAAATCCGCTTTAAAAGTATGTAGTTCTAATTGCACAAATTCTATAGATGAGTGCACATTGTGCAAGGAGAAAGACAACATTGAAAATAATTTTCAAATGAGACATATACACTGCCATTCTGGATAACTATCAAACAGCAGTAATGTACAGTTCCAATTTAACAGACAATTGAGCACATGCTGTACAGGGTGTGTTTTACTATGCAGCACTGTACTGTACTGTACTGTATTACATACCTAGCGAAGCATTTGTATGGAAGTCAATGGGAAAGTTAGCGAGCTATATCCACCGATATTGCCCGATTACCCCGATATAGCCCGCTTACCTCGTTTTGATATTAGATTTCTTTAATAACCATGATAATATCATGACGTCACGTCATTGATACAAAGTAACCATGGCAACAAAGGCATGTAATACATCAGTTATGTCACTATGACGTGAAATATGCCTTCGTTCTTGCCCAAATATAGAGCCTCCCAAGGTCGGCCTATATTGGGAGAACTCAGGCATATTTCACGTCATAGTGACATAACCTCTAAGTACTGTACTGTACGGAAGTGTACTGTTTTGTTGTGATCGATGAACAGAGCTGGGTACTGCTATTTGAGATGTACTTTGTAATAAAAGAGCAATTTAGGCTAATAGTGAACTTGTCACAATTGATCAATAGGACAAAGTTTATATAGTACCACTCAATGAAAGGCTTACTATTATGTGCAATCATTTAAATACAGTCACAGGAATGTATGAAATACTTCTGGTAAAGAATGCTCATTTTCCTTCCATGTCACAATTTAAAACTAAACAAGGCATTAAGATGCAAAATGTCACCACCTGCCATTTGTTACTGATGCAGAATGCTGACCACCATTCACAAAAATTTTGGAGACTGTAACAATATGTCACCACTTGTGGTGTTGACATAAAAAAAATGTGTACTGTATGTCAATACCACGCGGTACAAACTTCGACCGTTAATTTGAATTTTTGACCTACCGGATGTTTGAAAATCAAGGATTACGAGTCTCGTACTGCACCGTTTTTCTTCAAACTTGTTCCATTCAAAGCATAACAAAAATCCCTTTCTGTTGGTACATTATTCTCTTAAACAGAGTCCCTACTTCCAGCGGCATTTTGGTCCCCAGCTGTAAGAAGGCCTTCTAACAGCTGGGGACCAAAACGCTGCTAAAACGAGGGACTCTTTACAATAAAGTAATGCACCGACAGAAAGGCAATTTTGTTTTGCTTTTAATGTTATACGTTTAAAGAAAAACGGTGTAGTATGAGACTCGCAATCCTTGATTTCCGAGCATCTGGTAGGTCAAAAATTCAAATTAACGGTCGAAGTTTGTACCGCGTGAATACATATTTCATGAAAATTGCATAAATAAATTGAAATATTAATTGATATTTTTGATACAAAGGATTAGACCATGCAGAATTTTGTTGAGCATTGGGTATTCACTTTTCAGGCATTAAGGCTAATTTGTGGTAAATGTACAGTACTTTCAACATCATCAAAATTGAAAGGCCACATTTTGATAAATAGAAAGCTTTGATGAATGTACTATTTACTTTTACAATAAACAATAATACAAACTTTGTGAATGTCTCTTGCCTAAAAACAACCTTTTTTGTTTTGGACCTGCAGTTACACTTTTCTCTCATAAAGGACATTCAGTTTTCACAGGTTTTACGACATTAACTGGATCTGTACTTTGGGTTTGTTTTATAGGAATTTTACATGAGTATATCATATTTTACAAATTGATAATTGAAACATCTCTATATAACCTTGTCTCTGTTCCAGACAGATTTAACCTGTACATTTAAATACAACATGGAACATAAAAGGTGCAGCCTCACACTCAATTCTGCTGAGAATCTCATCCCGAAAAATATATTCTTTCATTGATAGTTTTTTACAGTCAACAAAATGAATAACATAGAGTAAATATACAGTAAATCTTTTGAAACTAACCATCAACGTTTTGAAACTAACAAGGTTTATCTGATAGTGTACAATGCATAATTGATGGACAATGCTTTTTATGTTGTCCGACACCAGGGTTATATGTTGTTAACATGTGCTGTAAATGTACGTGCAATTTTTTAAAATATTTTTATCCTTTACCTAAACTCATGTTGGTCTTTGTAGTGTCCTATTATGCAAATGAGTTTTCATTCATTCTCACAAATTCTGACTCCAAAATTTTAAAATCCAAAGTGTATGATGATACATGTGCTGTCTTGTTATTTATTTACATGCCTCAGCCCTGAAGCCAATAAATATATTCAATATCTACTTATCTTGACAATGTACATACAATAGATGCCTGGTATTTGAAACAAATGAAAAAATACTGCAAAATAATATCTTAGGTCCTTCGGTACTCATTCTAATGTTAAAATACAACATGTATATTTTCTGTTATCCTAAGATCAGATAATATAATTCAGCCAGTTTATCTTTAAATACTTGTAAATGTTTACATATTTGGACTAATTTTAACTTTTTTATTAGTTCTGCATCAGCAATCATCAATCACCTTTTTTACTTTTAGGTTTATTAGACGTAGATTCCAAACTTTCCCAGGCATCATCTTCTTCTGCCCATTTTTCATTGTCCCAACCATTATTGCCACCAGTACCCGCAGACTCTCCATCAAAATCAATAAGATTAGCAGTGTCTGGTTCTTGCTTAGCGCTAGTTGCCTTAGGCTTAGATTTAGTTTTAGTTTTCGCTGGTTTGTCCATTGCACCCCAGTTTTCCGTATCCCATTCATCACCAGATTTCTTCTCGGAAGGTTTTGATTGGCTCCCTTCCTGATTACTCCAGCTCCCCCAACTATCTCCGCTGTTCTGTGTGTCGGATTTACTAAGGGAGTTTGTGGGGGTCTCATCCCCAGGGCTTCCCCAGTCCTCTCCCTCGCCCCAGCCGGCCCATGAGTCATCACTGTAATCTCTTTTGAGAAGTGGCTTACTGGGTTCGCCAAACGTGCCACTGAAAAATAGCAATATGCATGAATTTAGAATGTTTCCATCCCAAATCAACACAGGAGGTGTATTATTAAATATTTTTTATTTGCTCTAATTTCTGTGTTTTATCTGAAAAATGAACTACATGTTGTATTTTGAAGGAAATGTGAGAGAAAAATAATACAGCTGAATATATGCTAACAACATGTACAAAAGCAGTGCTGACACCTTTTCTTCTCTCATGCTGGTCAATTAAATCACACATACACATTACATATATGTACCGTATTATGTACTTCTCATATTAAATTACCTTTTTACCAAGAATGACAAACATTATACAGTATACTATATTTAGTAATTGAAATTCTGTTTTCAGTTTTTGATAATTGAAATACTTCATCATGGTATCTCCAATTAGGAGATTCAACTATAGCTACAAAGGCAAAAAATTGACAAGAGAGGTATATACCTAGGGGTCCTGTTGTTCACAAGGGTAGCTCCCTCCCTGTCAGCAGGCTGGTCAGTAAATGTGGACTGTAAGCTGCTCCAACCTTTCACACTTGCTGATGAGATCTAGAAGCATTGCAAGGCATTAATAGAGAGGTTAAGTTAGCACTGTTTTGAAGTATGAAAAACATGTAAAATTATGGATACTTTCATCTCACGTCACAATAACTGTAGTTGTTATCAAGTCCCCATTTTAACCAATATGAGAGGAGGAGAATGATTCTTTGGGGCCATAATACTACACATTTATTTAAGTTCTCGCCAATTTCTATTGATTACAATAGCTTTCCAATATGAGCTAAAAAAAATTGTTTATTAATAACAATACAAATGGCACCTTTTGGTGGGCTTGCATGATGATTCATTGTGCTAATTCCAATTTGAGATACATAAAGGATTGAAAGTATACTTTTTGAAACCTTAAATGGACTTCATCATTTTTCATCATATTTTGGTGATCATTTTTCTAAATAAGTCAAATTGCAAGATAAGGAAGAAAGATTTATGAATATATCAGTTAAATAAATATATTGGCAGTGAAAAAAATATTCAATGCTTCAAGTAAAATAGAGAAATAATCTTGTATGTTCTTATTCAATGGTATCCAACATATCTTGAGTCATGAGTGATTTCTCCAAAGCAAATTGTTTTAGACATCAAAGCATGTGAAACAGTGATATCCGAGTGTAATACTGATTCGGTATCACATTAGCACGGAAATATATAGCATATTTACACCATATGAATCAATATATTAGATCACTAGATTAGATTTCATTGCTATTGAATTATTCCCAATATTGATTTTGTTGCGATAAAAAGGCCTGAAGGAAGTTAACCTACCTTTGAGCCCCAAGTGCTTAAAGAAGATCCAACATCACTGGCCAATGACCCATCTTTTACCTACGCAAATGAACCAAACAAAACATAAATGTGATTGAACTAAAGGTTGGTGCTAACAACACTGACATGCAACATGGGGTTGTACAATCAATACTAACATTTCAGCATAAATGGACAGTTCTCTTTGACAAAATCCACATTATTATTTATTTTGATACAAATGGTAACATTTTCAAATCTAAAACAGTAAAAGAGTGGGACACTTGTGGTTCCTCTTAATGTAATTGGTAAAAGGACTTCAGCCTTAAAGGAGGTGTTCCATTTATGGAGGTGTTCCACTTATCGAGGTGTTCTACTTTACGGATTTAACTTTACAGTAGAGTGAAAAAACATCAGAAGAGGATTGCCCTTATCTAAACAGTAATTTATACATGGTTTTAAAATAACTAAAAGTTTCAACAGAACTGTTCTCAAATCAATACAAACTGTTAATGTTGTTTTAACTAAAATATCAGAATTAAAACAAAACATCTACGTGGTATGAACAGTATAATGCTTGCTTATAGCTACAATTATTTGTAACCACATTTATAATACTCACCTTTGTTCCAAAGTTGGTCAAAGAATTCGACACATTGTCAAAAACCTTGCCGTCTTTAACCTGAAGAGTGCAAAAGGCATGCATACATGTAGCTATTGTGCTTTCTATAAACACCTAATACAGTAAAACCTGTATAAAGTGTTGGTCCACATTCTAGTCTAAGCAACATCCAAAAATGTAACTAGAATGTGTTATAACACTTTGAGCTGTTCGTTTCATACATATTTTCACAAATACAGGTTTTATTGTATGTCACACCATCTGCTCACTGGCAACATATTGAAACAGCAAATTTGTAAATAAATTAAATTGAAATACAGTGTACCTTTATTATTATGATGATCATTGATTGTTGCCTTGGAGAGCTTAATCTAGTTGATGTATATTTGTGTAAGTTTCTAGTAATGTAGGAATAATGAAGTTGAAAAGAATCTAAGAAATTAAAGTGATGATATTTAACATAACAGATTTGCCATTTCATTACATTACTAAAAATCATTGAGCATAAATTTGTACTTTTGGATGATGTGAGAAGTGATTTTGAAATATTATACAGAGGGTGGGTCTATAAGGCTTCAGTATATCATATAAGAAGCCAAAAAGAAATATAATGCACATTGTGGTTTGTAGGTACTGAGTACACTTTTGATCAATTTTGATCCATAAAAATGTGTACTAGGTGCCCTCTCCAAATCCAAATAGACACTCTCTCTTTAATAAAACAGTAAAATAAATATATCGTAACTTAAAAAATTCATAATTATGGAACAAATGCTTCTCAGTTGATAATTTGTCTTGTGACAATACAAATATTTATTATATTTTGCCAATGCAATTTTAATTCATTTTTAATTTATTCATCCTTGACTAGATGTGAGTTAAATATTTTAAATGGTTTAAGTACCAATCTCAAACAGGTTAGATGGAATTAATTAATTATGTTCCATAGATATGAATCACAAAATCAAGGAAAATATAAAAGAATGACTTCAATAAGTTTCATTTCACTGGTGTCTTTATATTATTGATTTTTTCATCATAAATTTTCAACAAAAACCTGTACTTAACCTCACTTTCTGTACATACAGTATTCACTATTCAACTCCCTGCCATAGTTTCGAAATTTGGAAATAGTTTAGGTTTTTGATAAATATGGACAATGTGACATCCTGGAATGAATCTTGAGTGATGTGTGATGTACAAAATAATATAAGCAAAAAAGAAAGGAGTATATACATGTAAAACGACAACATGCGATCTAATCTAAATTCTCAAAGCTCAAAGCACAGGTCTCATATCACTGCCAATATCTCATATCACTGCCAACTCAAGATTATTGTATATAACTATGCGAATCTTTTTCTTTAACTTTATTGAAGCGTTTGCAAGACAAGTATGCATTTTGGCTATTATATTGTAATTAGCCATTATTTACTAAACCCATGTGGAAAAAGTTGGCATTCCCCTTTAAAAAATCTTTCTAGTAATGGGGCTAAGGTTATACGAGTATATTAGTGTCATAAGAGTCCTGTGCTTAGAGAAAGGTCTGATATGGTTCACAAATTTTAAAAACAAGAGGTTCAGGAATAAAATTATAATCCCCTTTCCTACCTTTTCATTCATGGAATGACTGATTTCTTTAGTTTTCTGTGCTGTAGTAGCTGCCAATTTGGTAGCCTGAAATGTTGGTGTCATATATCACATTTCAAAAATTAGAATTAAAACTTAACAGCACAAAAATCCTTTTGTGCAGTATTTCAATATTTGACCTTAGTTTTATAAAAATTATTTGACCTCTTAACACATTTATAACATTTGGTCATTTTTTACATGAAATGAAACAAGTAGCATTTACCTTTTCAGTCGCTACAGATGCAAATTTTGATGCCCCTACAGAGAAAGAAGCCCATCCCTGAAATTAAGTAATACAATGTACATTTTACTAACTCTAAATCATGTATAACAGTAATGCTAATTTTCCAACATTTGTCAGGAATTAATATTTACCAATTGTATGTTGAAAATATGGGATATCTATCCACTGCCTAGCTATCAGTAATTGAGAAGTCTGTTGACAGCCAAAATTGGTTACGACTAACAAACTGAACCCTATATATATGGCAATGGAAATCTGAGAGCTCTACTATAATACATCGAACTTTCCCCTTTACTATGGTGCCTTGCTCTATGAGATAACCAAATGTTGTTTCTTACACTAGAGAGCGAAGAAAGTGTCCCCTCAAGCAGATCATTGTTTTGTTTCTGGGGAGCAGGAGAGCTGCCAAATCCTACATATTTCCCACCTTCACTTGGAGCTACGCCCCTGAAATACACTTGTTTCTATGTAACATGATAAATACCAACACAATAGGGTCCAAAATTAAAGCTAACTACAATATCTAAAGTCTAAAGCTGTAATACAATGAACAATATGTAATGTTGATATATTTTCCATTATTTAATCATTCAAAAATCAACCAGGCACATCCTCAATAGGTTCTAAAGGGACTATTTATTTCATTAGAGATCATCTCATCAGATAAGACAAACTGTTATATTAAATTTGGAAATAAGGAAAATAAGATATAAACATGCAGAATGTCACCACCTGCCAACCACAGAATGCCAAACACTGCCCACCACCCACAAAAAAAAAAAAAAAAAAAAAAAAAAAAAAAGTTGGAGACTATAAAGATATGTAGTGGTGACATTGATATTGAATAAAATGTTAATATATTGAAGAAAATTTTAGAAAACTCCAATATCAACTTCATACAAAATATAGCAAGAAGTCTTACTCTGGTCTGGAGGCATTTTCTGCTTGTCTACGTGAGAAGAAATCATCTTTCTGTCTGGATATATTTTCCCTGAAAATGAAAATTATAGTACCAGTTTGGTAAAGGGAAAACACATATAAACTCTTTTTATATTGTGTAGAGTCTATAATAGATTTAAAATACTCAAGAAAATAAGAATACGGGTGACTTTTAAAAGACACACAGTAGGCTGGTTTTGCTAGAATAAGCTAAGTATGTTCTTGAAAGTCAATGGAATAAATCTGAAGGATGCAGGTTCATATCCCACTAAACTGAGTGACTTTCACTTGCGTCCTAGCAAAGGAGGTAAATTTTAATTTATAGCTGAGTCTACAGTCTAAATGGTGTATTAACAGCTTGCTTTTAGCAGAAACAAATTAAGTGACCCGTATATGTGAATGAAAACGTTTTCAATTTTTGCCTTTTTAGCCATCTTCTTGCAGGAAATGAGCAAAAGGATTGATTTTTAAAACTGAATCCTATGTACCTCGACATGCCAAATGCTTCCTCCATCGTTGTATCATTGCCAGCATATGTGTTGCTCTTGTGAATATCATTCGAACCGAAGCTCTTTTGAGTTGCCAGCCTGGCACTGGCCACATGAGGGACATGATTGCGAGCTTTTGATGTTGATATGGACCATGGCTTCCCTTCAGCCTCTGTTGCAACCTAGACAAATTAATGCACTAATCTTGTAGACATTCAACAGAAAGTAAAATCAATTATTTCTTAAAACATAATATTCAGTTTTACAAAATTGGCTTCATTAAATATGACCAACTCTATCTAGAGAAAGTTTCTTTCAAAATCATAAAATTGCGACAAAAAATTATAAATTAGAACACCCCAGAAAAAATTGAAAAACTAAGGCATCCTCCACATGAATGTTGGTTACCTTATCCCTATATAAGGCTGCAGCTTTACTGTTATACTTCTCCTGAATTGTCATACTATCACTGTAATCTGATTGGCTTTCCAGGAACACTCGGAAATCTCTATTGCCACCCTTTTTCATTTTCTCTAATTCTGTATCTTTCCACTTGTCCATAGTAACAGATCTCACAAAGCTGAAACACAAATCAACGAAGCATGACTTGAAGTATGCAATATTTTAATTCCGTTAAATGCTCCTGTGTAGTGCTATAGCTAGATTAACAAAACTAACCCATAAGTGGAGTAAGTCATTGGGGGCATAGCCAGGATCTAAGAGTAGGGGAAGCAAATTGAAATTGCTTAGGCAAATTTCTATATACTACTTTTTATTACACTTAAACAATTTTCTTCTTTACACAACTTTATTTTGAAAACACAGAACATTTCGGATCACATCTGGATCCTTTATAAACTGTAATAAAACTGAACTGAAGCGCTACAAGACAATTAAATAAGGATCAATTGTTAATTAATTGAATCTGAGGTGATTTATAGTGATTATATTGGTGCATCGAGCAATTGCGGGATCCCAAGTAGCTAATGGACTATGAGTCACAATATAATGTCTTAGAACTGACCTGAGATGGACACCAAGTCCTCTGTGTTTGCCCGAGCACTCAAGGCAAATCCAGATACCATAATTTACACTGACCCATTGTGGATTGTGAGCCCCACATTCAAAGCAGGTCTGAAATAAAAATGTTAATAAATCAACTGCAACAACAACAGGTAACATTACAGCTGCAATATGTTTTCTCTGAAATAGAAACTATACAAAAGTTATTACATAGTCTGGAGCCTGTAGGAATGTGAGTCTATAAAACCAAAATATTAACCAGCTGGATACAACTGACCAACTTTCAATTTTCTAAGTTTGATAAATACTCTCAATTACACTATGGTATAATGAATATGACCGTTATCAACTGTTAAAAAAATGTATGTGGAATTTTTAGGCTAAGTTATGAAGTTGATACTTACATTGTTTTCATTGCTGGATTTCAGATCCTTCAATACACGCCTGGTACGTGGACTGGCCATTTGGCCTGTTCAAGAGTGAGGTAACTCCCTGAATTGGTAAATATATGAGATATCAAATTGAAGTTCGAGTGTAGCTGAAATTTTCTCGGATGCCGATAAGTGTTTAAGTACCCCTATAACTCCAGATTTTATTCAAAACTGCGACAATAAAAAAATTAAAAATTGGTGAGTTGTCATCCGGCCATGAGGAACATTGTAGGTCCTAATTAGGTTTAGGAAAAATTTAAAATTGTATGCTATTTTGTCTCAATTATTTTTTTATTTAACAATTTAAGAATAATTGATCCATGAAATTTTAAGGAAACATATAAATAAGACAAGAAATTGAATATTTTATAACATCAAAAGCAAATATGATTCTTGTCGCAAATTTCACATCCGTATGATTACTTCCGGTTTTAAGCATGGACCCAAAATTTAAAATCAACAAGCAATATGCTGATAAATACGATGACTGGAGGCGTAAAGAAGAGCTTGGGAAGTGTGAGTGTGACATAATTTTATTTATTTTGGGTGATGATTATCGATACGGCATTCAGGAAGTTTTACTTTTGGCGTTTACCTTTCTTTCAATTTTTTTGTCAATTTTGATCATCATTATTATATAACGACCCTTGGGCATGCCGTCGGGAAGCTGTAGTGTACCGAGCCAGAAACTAGACTCGAAAGAGAATGTGCTAAATTGCCCCATACGGGAATCAAACACAGGACCTCCCGCTCTCGAGTCAGACGCTCTACCCCTGAGCCATAAGGGCTAGCCACTACAGCTGATAGTAGCGACTTGCTATTGTAGGTCATTACACCATCCCCCCTAGAAGACGACGTCCCGTCGTAACTGGTTCACAAGGGCAATCCCACTTCTGACACCAATGTAACGACCCTTGGGCACGCTCGTCGGGGAGCTATAGTATACTAGTCATATAAATCTGACCCTCGTATGATGTTATTTGTTGTTATTTTTTCTGATTTAGATATTTATTTTTTCTTATTTTCTTGCATACGAGGGTCATACACACTCCCCGCATCTATATTGCGGGAAATGCTTTCCTGGCCTGTCTAACCAACCAAATTCACACAAATGGTAAATAAATTTCTTTGCTTCAACTATAAAGTATTTAATCTTACCTTAGGCACGTAAAACGCTTGGTAATTGAAGAAATATAAGCATGCCGCTTGAATTTTAAAATTTTTTCATTTTGCCATACCAATGTCACTTCCGGGTTAATCTGAGTCTAGATGTAAAACTATATCAAACAAAATCATATGTATTTGTTACACGAAGATTCAGTTGAAAGGGAAGCAGTGTCGTTAAGAAGGGAAGTTATTTGGAAAAGTTATTGTTTCAAAATGAGAAAAGTTATTGTTTCAAAATGAGAAAAGTAGTAGTATGAGAGAACGGCTTTGGAATCGATATCTGTGTAATGAATAATTATGATTCCGTTTTGATACATGTTTTACATTAAGACTACCGCAAACAACATTTAGCAACATGCCGGGCGATAATGAAAACATAATTCAATTGATTATATTTTGTCAATTATCAAGCGTTTTACATGTCTAAGGTAAGATTAACACTTTGATGTTGGAGCTAAATAATTACTCGATAATTTGTGTGACTTTGGTTAGTATGGTAACTATGGTTACCCAGACAGGCCAGAAAAGCGTTTACCGCAATTTGTTAGCAATTATATCTACGACCGTATATGTTAAGAAAATGATAAAAAATAAATATCCAAATAAGAACAAGGAATATTGAAGAACAGCATACAACGGTCGGATTTATATGACTATAGTATACCGAATCAGATACTAGACTCGAAAGAGAATGTGCTAAATTCAATGCCCCGTATGGGAATCGAACCCAGGACCTCCCGCTCTCGAGTCAGACGCTCTACCCCTGAGCCATAAGAGCTAGCCACTACAACTGAGACTGTAGTAGCGACTTGGTATCGAAGGTTATTACAATAATTTTAATATCAAACCTCTGGTCATCACTAGACTCACCTTAGTATGAGCAAAGTTTGGGCGCCATCTTTACTATTTGACATCAAAATAAGATCGTCAGCCCAAAGTAAGTGGTTTAACATATTTCCATCAAATTGAATACCATTTTCTTTTGGTAGATTATCTTTTAAATCATCAAGGAAATGGTTGAATATTGTAGTTTGTAGTGACTAATATGTCATTGCAATGACATCAGAGAGTCAATAAAAGATACAATGTATATATATATGCTCGGTCTTCACTGTGTTCAGGCCTCCCATAATACAGCAGGTCCAATTGTCAAATCTGTAAACACAGCTGATTGCCTTGAACTTTGACCTGCTGAACGTTCTACATCTACATCAATAATCCGCAAAAGGCTAATAAGCCCATTTAAAGCAGATATAATATATATAATTCTGCTAGATGTTGCATATTCTTTACCCTGTGCGCATCAGAGTCCAGTTAAATTACAGAAGACGAAGCTCTCTTTTAAGAAGCAAAGTCAAACGAATGCAAAGGGTACATGTTCATTCATTGTTCAACCATTAAATTCATCAATTGTGACTGTCTAGCAGCACTTACATTTTCAATTCAATTCTAACTGCACAGTTTCAACATGAAAATAAGAGGGGGTTAATAATCAATGTGTCCCATTCCTTCTTATTTGTAGTCTCAGATTTGAAATTAAATATAGTTCAAATTATCGATAAACTATTGAAGACAAGAGTATTTCAATGTTTTCGCTGTAGAGAATCAAAGAAAGATAGCATGTGTAGGAGGCTTTTATGAGGTCAGTTTAATATATGTTAGACTTACATCGTGGTCATTAGCAACTTAAAACATGCATTTATTTGTTAGTAATATTTTGTTCACATTAAAAGACAAAGGTTCCGATACTGAAAGTTGTTTAAAGAAAATCCACCCTCCTGCTCTTTGTACCAAGAAAGTGAGAAGGGGTAATTTCTTCAAACTAACCCGAGCTAACTATCTAAAGCAATGTTGGGGTTTCAAAATTTTTGCCAAAACATGACGGACTTCCCCTTTCATATCCAAATGAATAAAACCTACAAAACACTCAAAGATTGAAAACTGAATTTATTACAAGCTACTAGGCATAAAACAACATTCTCATCAAGCCAATATGCACAATTCTTTTCATTGTTTGCAAATTTTCTTAAACAGGAGACATATATTAGATTATAATTTTAACACTTTGTATTTTGTCTGTATTCAGTGAAGAGCAAATATGGAGATGCTGATGAGCTAGATTCATCATCCAGCTCAGAGTCAAGTGACGATAGTGATGCAGAGGCTCTTACATCACAGGTGGAGACTGACTGGTTGAAAACACTTGCAGCATTAAAACGAAAGGACCCAAAAATCTATAACAAGGATCAACAGTTTTACAAGCGTGGTAAGATAATTATTACACATTGGAATTGTCCTGATATTACCAACTCATCTCTGATATACCTACGACAATGAGAAGAACTAAAGAGAAGTTAATTGTGAAATGCTCAAAACAGCAGTCTAGATATGATGTGATTTTTTGAAGTTTGTACTTTTACTATGATGATAGTGTATTGATTAGATATTAGTGAAATTATAAAAACATCTCATAATGTTTCAATTTTTCCTATTATTGTACTGTGCACAACATATTTACTTGCCACACAAACTAACTATGTGCCGATGATGTATACATGATTGCTGTCGCAATGTTGTGACAGCGAATCAAATTGCAAGTTCTTAATCGGGGAAATGCTAACTGCTTATCACAGGGGGTAAAAAGATAGAAGATATTCTGGATTTTGAAGCCCTGTAATTGGAGGATGCATCTCTAAAATCACTTGTTTTATAGCTACATCATGATATATTCAGTTCTTCATTATGTATAAATATAGTTTACGAGTCAGTCTTATTGGCACACCTGCATAACGGCCTTGTTTTTTTTATTTATTATTAATTATATGGATGTATGTCTGAATTTCATTACCTTTAGCCATTGTGTATTTACATCAGATGTTACAAATGTTGTTTAATTTCATAATATCTTTCCTGAAATATTGTATTTTTTAGGTGAATCCCCTTTATAGTACATTGTATTTTATTTAATCTTATGAATAGTATTTATTAAATAAATAGTTATACATAGGTCTGTCATGAACATAAGGTGCCTGCTTGTATACTCTAGTTGAATAGCTCATTTACTTTTATCTCACTTGACCTCAATAAATGTATTCAAGTGAATCTAGAATTGTTAAAATATCTAGACAAGTTTTTTGTTTAACTTTTGGTACCATTTTTAAGGATATAGAAAAAACATCCCTAATCTTTTACATGCTAAATATAGAATCCAATCCATCTTGAATTTCATTGTTATGAGCTAGTGAGTGTAATGACAATGTTGCTAAATATGTTCATTAATTGATGTAATCTTTTAATTAAAAATACCTGAAATGAAAAATAATTTTAAATATAAAAACACTTACTTTTAAGAATTTGGGTTTCTTGCAGATGAGTCTAAGCCAAGTGGCTCAGAAAGTAAAGCCCCGAAAGGGAGGGCATCCCAGTCTATGACACTGAAGGATTATGAGAGAAAGGTGATTCTCGAAAAAGGAGGGTAAGTTTAGGTTTTGTTTTTATTTGTATCATCATTACAGTATTATGTATTCTAAAATCATTGCTTTGTATGTTTAGTCTTATCGTGGAGTTGCTGTTTAAAGTTCAAATTTCATTTGTGAATGTAGCCACCTCAGTGATGACAGTAGTGATGGAGAAGAAGAAGAGATAACAAGAGATCCTGGTTATTATGAGGAACAAGAGAAGATCAAGGAGGAGCTGAAGAAAGCTGCTGGTGCTGGAGATGAAGATGATGAAGATTCAGATGATGATCTCCTCACCAAAAGGAAAAAATCAAAAGAAGAAAAGGTGAAAAGCCATATAGTATCTTTTACTGAAATGTTTCACTAAAATGGCATTCTGGGGTCTGATGACTGGTTTTAATTTGATGCTTGAAAGTTGTCTCTCCTTGATAAGTAAATAAATGACATGTATTAATGAATTTGTTATTTAATGGACCTAGAATTCTTTATAAACAAATTGACTGACTATGTTGATAATACTTGCTCCCTGGAGCATCGACCACCACAAAGGAGGGAGGCATTGGTCTGTATAAAAATGATTTTATATTGTAGAAAAAGGAGGAGGCAGACTACCACGAGTGGCTTAAAGGGCAGAAACAGGAGCTCAGTGACGACACTGAAGTGGGAACTGATTTGGTAAGTGCTCACCTCCTACAACTAGGATTTATCATCAGTGAGATGGTTTAGAATGGGTAAATAGAAAAAGAGGGAAAACTCCAAAATTCTTCATGTAAAAATAAGCTCCTCTTTATTGATCTATGACTGACACACACCATCATATCATATTGCTGATTGGTGCCAATGGTGTTAACCAAATTAATGGAAACCTAATGGCTGATTCAAAATTTTGTGATATTCTGGCGTAATTACCAATATCATAGCCTATTATTTCACATTAAGTTAAAAAGGATTCGAGGAATATGTTAACACCGATTAAAACATCAATGTGTGGTATTCAGATACTAAATGGTAGAAATTTTGTGACATTGTTCCAACACTTGTAGCATGTTCACTTATCATTGTCAGGATGCATTGACATCTGATGTCATCTTATCTTTCAAAATGGTACACAAGAATAAATGATTTTCATCCCTTTGGCTTTAAGATTTTGGCCATATCAAATTCATATGTTAATGAAATCATTCATCTAAGAAATGCTCCTTATTTCTGAATTCTACAATACATGTAATATGAAACCTTCTAACAAAGAAACTAACTGAACTGACATATACATAAGTTTTGCATCTAAAATGTGAATGTATTTTTTCCATATGATATTGTACTATTGTCAGGTGTTCCTTTGACTTTTTTAGGTTTGAGAAATTTTGACTGCGGCTAAGTTGTATTCTTCAACCTAAACAAACAATTTCTTTTAAGATAGATGGCAAAGCAATGAATATTTTTGGTCTTGAAATATTCCTGTTGTTACACATGTGAAACGTTTTTACTGGTTTAACATTAGCACATGTGTTATGTTGAACATGTATTGTACATGTTTAATACCAATATTGTACATGTTCTGTTCCTCTCTGAAGTGACTTTGGATTAGAGGTGCAAGTTGTGGTGAAGATTGTGGTCAGCAATTTGAGACTCATTACATCTTTCTCTTTTCCAAGTAACATGCTATGATATTGAACTTCCTTCTTGATATGAGCTCATCAGATGGGAGGAGCCCCAGCTGTCATATGGTGTGACTTTATCATGTGTTTAGTGCCCTCAATCTTGATGCATTGCATAGCAGGCATTATTAAGTCACCACCAGAAGTGGTGACACATTTTTAATCGTCTCCAACTTTTTTGTGGATGGTGTTTGCCATTTGGTGTTTGGTGTCTGGCATTCGTGGCAGCCATTATCTGTATAACAAATTGCAGGTCGTGACATTTTGCATGTTAATGCCTAGTAATTTATTGTCACAGTATAATATTAATACAGGCACAGAGATTATAATCTCCAAAATATGATTTGAGATGAAAGATTTCAAAAAACCTGGAATTAAGGAACTCTTCGATCAACAAATGTAAAGGAAAATATCATGGAATCTCACAACTGATGTAAATAAAGATGAAGTCTGTTTCTAGATTAAGTTGAAATGAATCCATGTATTTTTGGTAGATGAAATGAAATAATCATTGTATGTGAGCCTTTTACCAAGGCTCTGAGGATGTGGTATAAGGGTGGCAAACAAGGAATAAGTGCATTTACTTACCCACAATAGACTAGATGCAAGTAGAAATAATCTTGATTAATGTAATGAAAAATTCAAACAAAGTGTTCATATTTGTAATCTACTTGTACATGTAAAATTACATCTAGAAATGTGATTTTGTGTTTATGAACTTTGAAAATTAAATTTTCTTTTAAAATGAGACTTCTAGGTTGGGGAGATTCCCTGTAGACCACATGTTATAAAATCATTACATGTACTATATTATATAAATATTTTCTTTTACTGGACATAGTTTGCATCTAAATAACTGCCAGATACATTTGGGTAATATGAAGGTTGAACCAGCTTCTATACCTGCCATGCTGTCTCCCTCGAATAAGCCACCCGATGGTGAGACTGGTAATTACCTAATTGCATCTAGATTATTTATTGAGTCATGTGCTTCAATTCTTTTCACACAAAGCAAGATTTTGAAATTCAACCTGAAATCATGGTACTTTTTACATTGTTTTACAGAAGGTCAAAGTTATCCCTTATTATAGTTTTCATGTATTAACCAAGCGTCTATTGTGAAATATTGAATGGCTGTACTGTACTATGTTCTGATCAGCCAGAAAGTGATATTATGTGTGAATATTGATTTGAGTATTCAGAGTTCCATTTATTGATATAAAAGGGGTCCTGGGAGGAGAAAGTGCATCAATTCTAGTTTTTGGTTTGTATCCATTCCAAGGGAAAATTGCACTCCACTAATGTTTTATAAATGTTTTCATTGAAATCAAATTTTGGATGTTTAAGGTCATATTGACATTGACAATCATTTTTTATTGTCTTTATGAAGCACTTCATAAATAATGTTGCCACAGACTAGACTTTTAACATTGTACCTGTTGTCTAGATGAATAAAAGTACGAAAAAGAGGAGGAAATACCCCCAGAATTCACAGATCTTCATATAAAGGTTTATCTTTACAAGGGGATAGGTTTGTCAATGAATTCTGGGATATTCCCCTTCTTAGTACTAAAATAATGTAGCGATGTTTAGAGCACTGGGTTGTCCTTTGTAATAAATAGGTACAGCATATTATATATGGCTGTTCAAGGTTTCCCTCAAGGTTGAATGATGAAATGGTAATTTGTTAAAAATGTGTTTTAAGACTTGGAATACTGGATCTCACTATACATACAGTATATGAGTACAAAGGAATTAGATTAGATTTTATACAGTCACTATTTGATTGTTAATTATGGTCATGGATTCTTTCTGAGGTACTCAAATGTTTCTGATTTCAGATTCTTTGATGGAGTTTGATATTTTTGTAGACTGCCCACTGAGCTTTAACCTTTAGCGTGCTGCCGGCGGACTCGTCCGCCGAGACTAAAATGTCTCTCACAACTGCCGGCGGACCCGTACGCCCGATTTCAAACTTTTAAAAACTTTACTTTTTCGCGCCATTCGTATTGTCCAATTAGATTGCCCGATTTATTCAGTGCCTAACATGACTTCCTGTTGACCTAGAAATGGCGATATTTCGAAAAATAATTCTCAATTCAACAATTTAAACAGTGTTTTAGTCGTTTTTAGTGAACGAATCGTACAAAATGGTGGACAAATACGATCACAACGAAAATGTGGAGGAAATAGATTACGATTTCGAGCTCTTTAGGCTCTTGGAAGCCGATAACGGTCATCGAAAATAGAAACTAGAATATTTTCTGAATTGAAAAATTGAACATTCGATCGCTGCAAATTCAGATTTGGATTCTGACCAGACGAAGAGGCGGAGCGGCGGATTCCGGAGGAGTATTCATGGTATATTTATGCCCAGTCGTGTTAATGTACGAAAAAATTCATGAGAACATTTTTTTCATGAGCCAGGCCACTGTATCTTCCCTTTGTGAAAATTTTATCCAGATCCATTCAGTAGTTATTGAGATATTAATTATTTAGTCCAGGTATATCATTTTTTGCACTCTTTGAAAAATAAGCCAGTTGCGTGGGATATATTTGCTGAAATAAGGCAGCATGGTAAAGGTTAATAATTTTACAGTTTTGATGCTGTTTTCCTAATACTAGTAACCTTAAAATATTAGCTTCCATAGGATGTCAGCTACAAATAGGCAGAAGACAGTGTTGTGGCTTAAATTCTGATTGGGTAGTCATTTTAGGACAATCATTTTATTATGAAAAAATGAGATAACAAATTATTTCTTATTTAAATAGTGTTAAGAAACCCCTCTTTTGGACACACAAAGTCGAATATTGTTGCAAAGGTGAGATCCATCCAGCTGTAGCTATATATTAAAGTCTATGTTGAATTTTGTTTTTTAGCTTTGAAAATTAAATCGACCGAAAAAAATTTATTGAATCACAAATTCACTTGGGACAGAGGCATTCTGTTTGCATCATATTGTTGTCTGTGGATAAAAAATTTTATTGCAAATTATAGTAAAAATGCTCATTTCTAATGCATTGACATATACTTTATAGGTCCTGTCTAAAAAGTTTGTATAAGTGCATAATATGCATGTATACTGTATGAATAGCCATGGTTGCCATTGCCTGGGAAAAGTCAGGGAAAAACCAAAATGGTTTCATGGAAAGTCTAATAATTTTGATTCAGTAAAATATTGAAAATTAGACCACAAAGTGAAAAAATGAAAATGAAAAGAAACAATGTGGAAACTAAAATTATGCAGTTTATGAATAAAAGTACTAAAAAACTCAAACATTAAAAAGATTGCTGTCTGTTAACTTGAATGAGCAATGAGCATTTGGTCAGGAAAAGTAACTCCAAGAACTTACTAGACTAGAATTATTAAAAACGTGTTTTTTATATATAATTCAAATTTATTTCTAACAATCGATGCAATAAAATAAATATGAAGAAATTTCCATTGTCAACATTATCGGCATAAAATTGATTTCCAGAATTATTTTTATACACGATGAATCTTTGACAAGTATATTTTCAATAAGTCACAAAATTGAGAGGGAAAATATGGTAAAAAGCTGTTTCTACTTGTGATTTTTATTAAAACATGTCATGTTAACTGGTACGAATGAATAATTTTCACAAACCCTTGATTTGAGCTTCAAAAGTTAAAAATGAGTTTTATCTCTGAGTCAATTAATTGTTTAAGTTATATATCTTTACGAATTAAAAATAAGTTAAGGTTGTTTCAGATGGGAATTACGGCTAAGCCCTTCAGTGCATACTGCATACATAACAGAATACCTCAATTGATGCTTGCCAGCTTATGTAAAACAGCCATTTTGGAAATCAATGGTAATAAGATAGAATTGTGTTAATCCTTTTACTTGGTATTATTCTTTGGTTGATACCAAATAAAAATATTATTACATATATGTACTACAAATGTATTGGAAAGTTACAACTCAATTTTTAAAAACTCTTATACAAGTACAACTCTTAACAACACTTTCTAGTCTTTACTGAGAAATATAAATCACTAGTTCTGAAGTTTTAAGTTTTACCACTTGACATTGCTTATGGATTTTGGAATTTTTAAAATTTGCACTTTTGCGTTTATATTTAGATCCTTTTGTTGAAATAAATCCTATATTATACTATACATCCTATACAGTATACATTGCAGTACAGCTAGTCTACCAACTGAGTTGATCATAGTACTATTGTGCAGACACAGATATAGTTTTTGGTTTTGTTTTTTTTATTTGCATTTTCATTAAGTTTGTCATTTATGTCCTACCTAAAGGACAGTTTGAAATATTACTGAATGGTGAATTTATTAATGAATGATCATGAGTGAAGACTAACATTGACCTAATGATATATCTTTGACTTTGCCTTATTAATCTGAAATGCACTGAATGGCCTTAGCTTTAAAGGTAGTTGCTCTCACATCTTGCCAGCCCGATTATGATTATGTGATTACATTTTAGTTTACTGACTCGATCTATAGTACGACTGTTTTTATAATTGATAAACACCAGTTTGACCATGAACTTACCATATTTTGAGCTAAAATACATGCAGTAGATGTTTACTTGTGGGTTTTTAAATTTCTTCGCCTGACGAAAAGTGGTCTTAGTCACTAGATTACTTGATCAATAAGAAAAATGACGGCTGTAAATGAAACGAATAAAAAATTATAGATCTATTTTTTATATATTTTTGACTGTTTGGCATCATTCTTGACGCCTTCTTATGAATTTGGATCTAGAAATACCCAGCAATTTATGCCGACCCATGACCTAAATGTAGTTATTTTGAGAGATTCGAAATAATTTGCATAGCAACCAAATATTTAGGGAATATATTTTGTGTAAAGAGTCAGTATTTAGTGCTGCATTCAAACTGAGAAGATTTATATGGCAGCTCAGTTATAATGGCTTCTCTGAATATTGTTATCTCAATGTTTAAATATTTCAGGATGAATAAAATTAATCAATCCTGGATCAATTAGATGATGAAACTATTGAAGTTCAACAACTCTGAAATATTTTTACTTCTTATGTATATGTAACTTACGCAGTCAGTAGACTGCCTCTTATAAATGAACAGTTACTACTAGGAATGGACTTTTTTCAAGAGTTAATGTTTTTAGAGTTTATTGATAATACAAGTTACTGTTAAAAATATTTTGAGTTTGCATAGGATAAGAATTAAATATTTAATATTGTTCTATTACAAAAATATATATTATTTAATAGATCAAAAGAAATGCACTCATATAAAACAAAGTCTAAACTTCTAAAGAATTCTTGCTCTCAATAATAAATCTCCATGTACTACATGTAAATCTTAGAGTAGAGTTTGTTTCACTTAAAAGGGCAAAATAACTGTTCATTTTAAGAGACAGTCAATTACTGAGTGTTATCATACGATACTACTTTAAAGGCCCCATGGAAATTTGAAAAATATGTTTTCATCAGGATGCTAAACTTTAAAAATAATTGTTGATAAGTATAACTAGGTTGAAAAGGAGTAGATATAATGTTTTAATTATTACTGTACCATTGGTTCCTATGAGAACTTAAATTTTAAAATGCATTTTTCTCAGAACCATTTTCATACATGGATGAATTCATTTCTTAGTTTTATAAACAAAAAACATGTGAAGCTTAATGCTATGCATTGGTTTGAATTATTTCTTATTTCTGGGTTCTTGTGACCTTTAAAAGTTAGTTTTGAATAAATTCACGATTTTCGAATAAAATCCCTTCAAAAACCACTTTTTGAAATTAAAAAAAAACAGTATCAAATATCATATTTGATAACATTGAATAAGACTAAAATATAAGCCAAAGTGGTTTAAACTTTAAATGGGACCTTTAACATTTGATCTTTCAATAACTTATATTAATTTACAAAAGAACATAAAAATAATGTCAATAGTAACAATCCAAAACTTTTAATTAATAATATTTCACTTTTGCTAACAATCCGAAAACTATCCCCTCTAAAACAATGAAATAATTAACAAAATAACATATTCACAGTAATAAATAACGTATAATTCATGATAAACAATTTATGTACAATATTTATTTTAACATTAACATGACTTAACAAATATAAACATGTATACACCATCAGATCACCTTGTAATGTAACAAAACATTTTGTGAATAAAACCCTTGAAATGAAACCTGTTCATTTACAGTTTGTTTCTTTTACAAATTTAAGTGTATTATATCTTTCGATCAGGTTGTCCTGAACATAAATTCTTTGACAAGTCTAGAAAAATATGTTATAAATTGTCTGAGGCCCTTACTAACAAATGTAACTTTTTATAGGAGGAAACGTTAATGAAATGTTTGTAATATTGTTTGTCTATTGTATGCCTTGGCTATTCAGGTCCCTAGTGTGGTCTTCAGGATAATTACCTTGTGTGCCGGTTAAGTTCATAAAACACCATCGGTTATAAATTTGAGTTCACAAGAGGCCCCCAAATGCAGCTGTGCGGGTCATTTTCTGTTGTGCACACAAAGAAAGATCGGATCGCTTCGATAAAGTCCTTCTTTTCAACGAAACCTTGTTGTTGAGTGTCCATGCAATAATAAGCTGCCGTTGCATATTTCTGTTCAATGCCGATGCATTTGAAATAATTGTGATAGTCTTGGAGATTTATTTTACCATCATGATCGACATCTATGGCATCGAAGAAAAGGGGCACAGGGGCTACAATGTTTTCCCGTCCTTCTTCTGTGGATACAACATCCCAAATGTTCTGTACCCATGTTTCAAAATCAACAATATCCACAAGTTGTCCACCTGAGACATATTTGTTCCATAGTTCATCCATGCTCCAACGAATACTTTGAGCATCAGTGCCCGTAATGTTGTTGATCTCAATAACACGTTTAGCAATGTTTCTATAATCTGATAAAGTCAACTTTCCATCCTCATTCAAATCATGGCGAACAAAATGTGTTTTCATTTTTCTCCACCAAAAGAATGGCATATTGTTCTCTATTTGATTCCCGTTATCAAACATTGTCTCAGTCAGTTCTTCAAACTTTGTTGATTTCAATAGTATTGTGTTGAACTTCTTGTATTTTAACTTTGTGTGTTCACTCTCAAGTGCTGTGATGCTGATAGCTATAATCGTTAAGACTAGCGTGTTTGTCAAAAACCGTGTGTTATATACCGACACACTACAAAACATCCTATTTTTGTACACAGGTGCCTGTTTTTCTAAATTGTGTAGGGTGAAACTTAGCATTTTGTCTTATCAATCACACTTGTCAAAGCAATCTAAATACTATCCAGCCGGCACATAATAGATATTCTACACAAATGTTGAATGATCTCCCGGTGAAAAAATACAGAATGAAGTATCCTTAAACTAGTTTCAGTCGTCTGCCATCATTGGCTCATAAAAGTGTGTCACTGCCAGTTTAAAGTGTGATAACCAATCTGATGTCATACTGACTGTAGATTTTGGTAAGCTGTAATTTTTCCCAGGTTGTATCTCAAATGAGTTTCATATTTAATCATCTGCCTGTTTTAGATAATTGAACTAAGGATTAATTGGGATATATAAAGATGTTATTTGTAAAGATTTTTACAATTTTTGCATTTTACAATCTCTGTTTTTGTGGCTACTTTAAACAATATTGCAACAAGACATATTATTATTATTATGCATATGTACTGTATTGTGTGGATTTAGTGATTTATGAAAATATATATTACAAAGACTTTCTAGTGTTTAGAAAATGCACCATGGGAAAAGTTAGATGGTTCATTTGCAATCATTAATGAAGTATGCAATGTTATGACCGAATTCTTGGGAAGAGTAGATGCAACAATTCTCTTTGAACTTTGAAGTTGCCTTATATAGAATAAAACAGGTGTCAGTTAAAGTGACTTACATATTCAACTTGTCCGATATTGAGGTACAGGTGCACTGCCTTTAATAATTCACCTCAAACTGCTTCTTAAAGTAGATAAGGCTATACATGTATATCGCTTGTATGGGTCAGTGTTATTGACCTACTCGACCTGAATGAACTGAGTCCAAAGTAGAGACAACCACCACTATTTATTAGATGCTAAACCATTTTCTTTCTTCTAAGGGCGTGGCAATAAAAATGCAAAGAATGCAACTAAAATGTAAAATTGGATATGTCATTTGATGTAATGATGAATTGAATCAAAAATTCAATATATACAGTAACTCAAGCCTGAAACTTCAAGCCCAATGAAACTTCTTGCTTATTCCATTAGCATAAATGTTTTCTCTTATATTCTTAAAACCCTCAAAACAAAATCTTAAATATGAGTCACATCTAGTGTTCTATACAGAATCATATTTTTACTTGGATTATTATTATATGCTTGTATGGACAGTGAATTGTTAGCAGATACCGTATTCATTCAAATAAGTGCATCTCCCAAATTCTTGTGAAGAAGATGTCTCAAATTACAAAATCCTTGGGAATTTTTGAGCGGTGCATATATGGACGATAATAGCGTATTTTATGATTTTCCTCTTTAAAACTGGACTCGTTCAGACTAGATAACATAACATTATACCTTGATGTTTTCCTTGTGCATTTATTATTATTGGCTGAACATGTTTTTGTGGGTTAATTGACATATATGTGTCAATATCAATGGAAAATCATATCCAATTTTTATTTTTTTATTTTTTCTTGATATTTGTTTTGTGTTTATTAGAGAGAATACGGCACTCATTTTATCATATACAACAAAGTTTACTCTTTGCTGGTACAAAATGTTTTATATGTATTTTATGACTTCTGAGGTATCATTGTGAGTGTAAACATTTAGTATTAAGTGCACTCTTAATGGTTGTTTAATTGCATCTTCTGGATTCACAAATAGTCACATTTTTAACCTTATGCAATATTTAACTTTTGTATTTTTGTAAACATAAGAATAAACTTGCTTGAAAGTTCACAGGTAGGGATCAAACTAGATTGCTGTTATCTAGTTTTATGTTTTCAGAAAACTTAAACACCATTCCCTGATTATTCCCCTTCATCAGAAGAATCCGAATCATTCCCGAGTCTCTACGCAAGAAAATGTTAATGTAGATGACAATAGTGACTCCAAAATCATGACACGCCCTTCAGATTTAAATACTTATTGGCAATGACCAATTTTACTTTACAAATGTGTATCTACATGCTCTCTTTAACAAAAGCATGAATGTCTTTATATTAACTGGCAATTGCTTAAATCAATAAAAAATTCCAATGATTTAAGGCAAGCAGTTTGGATGGTATGCACACAGTTTGTGATTTCTCGCTAAAATAGGCAAGCAGTTTGTGTTTTATTTCTTTTTTTTATCACATGATCTGCTAATTTATTTGAAAATATTTTGTATTGTACATGCTAATTGTATAAAGATTTACATATGAACAAAACCCAAATATTTTCCATTTCTGTGAAAAGTGATTTATGAAATTATGGAATTGTGATGAAATGTTTTCTATTGCCTCGTGTGTTCTGTGTGATGCAACTCAAGTTGCCCTGCTTATTATGTGAAATAAACACCTTTCACAAATACATCTGAAGAGTTTTCTCAGTTTTAGGTCACCGTATATTCTTTAGACAGTTGGGTACATGCGTACCTGGTGAATAGAAAGATCTCGGTGAATGTCAAGTTGCTTGCATAAGCAAAATCTCTCAAAAACTTTACACATAGTCTTATCTATTCAATGACGTCTTTGATGTTTGGCATTGATAAATGTAGATAAAACTGCAGTATTCTTTCTATATATAGTCTTATCTTTTGTCAAATTAACTATAACAATCAGATCATAACAAACTTGATTTGGCATAAATTTTGAATATTGGTATTTTCCCTCTTTAGACAGGACATGAGTCATAAATCATTTAAACAAGTGACAATCGGTTCAACGTTTACTTTTAAATTTCCATTTCAAACTATTTGCTTCTTATAAATGTTTTTATACAAAATGAATAAAAAATAACAAAATATTATTATTAAAGTATAAAAACAACTCCTAAAATGAATATGTGTTAAGTGAATGAATAAGATAATAAGACAAATGTTTGTATATATGTTTTACTGAGAAAGCAGTCGAGAACCCTGCTAGTCCATTTACAAGATACAGGTCATCCTATAGTAGTAGTATTTTTTTTTTTTATGTCTCATCCCTTTTATGTCTTATATGTCTTTTATGTCTTATTTAAAATATTCATTAATAATTAATTTTTATAATGATAAACTAAAACTTATTATTCCCTAGATTATAATTTTAATGTGGATATGTTCCATAGGTAGATCTATATTAATTAGTGTTGTAGAAAAGTGCTCACGTTTTCATTTTGAAGTATCATGCATCCGCCTCTACTCAATAAATTTTTTCAAGCTTCCAGAAAGGAAGGCTTATATTTAAATCTAGTGATGGGTGGTGCATGTAAAATTTATTTGAGAAATATTTAGCAGTAATTGAGGGCCAAAATGACATATACTATCCTGGGTCTTTTTTCTTGAAATGACATCTCTAAAATTGTTTTTGTATAACTATTAGATTTTTTTTTTCAGTTTGGCTGTTGTTTACAAATCTAGTTTATAAATCTCTTTTCTTTGATTACCTTCTTTCAAGGTCACATTTTAGTTTTATATATTTGAGAGTGTCAACATTGAAATACTCAACCTATTTTGAGCTTTTATGAATAAGAAACATTCCGGAATCGCTAAAAATAGACTTAAAATGCTAATGGGAATGGGATATCCATCATACAGAGTTGTTTATTCATTCATTTTTTTAGGAAATAAGTCGATTTAAAAGGTTGTTTTGACCCAAGAACTAATTACTATGCTGATCATACATACTGTACTTAAAATAAACTAAAAAGCTATCAATGGCTTGAAATTATGTGAATTTTAGCATTTCATTCAAACTTATAAGAAAAACAAGTATTGACATAAGTTGGACTGTTTAACTTTGGGAAGGAAGTGTAGCATGGCATTTTACTAAGAAATACAAAGTATTTTGTACAATTTATTTATTTTTTTAATTCTTATTAATTTAAAGCTACTTCATCTCAGGTAAAATAAACCACCCAACCCCATGCAATGGTCAAATCAATCATTTTTCTGCATGATTTTTGGAAGCTAGTTCTGATCCAGTATGAAGTCATTGAAAATGGCACAGACCTGAAACATTTTTACTGCATTATACAAACTTTGTACTTCATTATACATGGATGCTTCAAAAAATAATACTGTTACAGTTTGGACCATAAATAAGTGAGTAATCAATTTTCTTTCACCATTTCCAAACCTGAGCGGTTAATGTGGGGAATATGGTATGTCTTATATCCAGGTTACCTATCTACCGGTTTATCTATATCCTGCCAACCACGCGCCGGTAAATACTTGATCCAGGCCAATGTCTTCACTCTGTACTTAGTACCTATTTTAGGATGTACAAAGAAAAGCTATAAATAATTTAATTACGCACAAATTTTCCTGAGAAATATGACTCAGCTGTGAATTGCCAAAATGATTTTTTCCTGTGGTATTTTACCATATCCTATCTTTATGATCCAGATGTATCACGCTGTCTGGTCACCTAAAGTATTCATATACTGTACTGACAAATTTGCAAATAAGAATTGATTTAAATGATAAAATAATGGCGAAGATGAAAATGTTTAAATCGTAATACAAAATTCTTGTCATGATATACAAAAACTAAACATTTAAATAGTATACTTTTTTCTCTTATAGTATGATGATGTTTTATTAGATGCAAATTGTAGTGTATATTTATTGTCATAGCTAATCATTATACCATTGGTTAAATAATAACTTTTCTCGAATTCTGTACAAAACCTTTATCAAGATTAATATATGTTGTCAGAATATATTTTAAAATGTCAAGCAGTTCATTATGAATATATATCCTGTCTCTATGTACCGGTTAATCCTTTGTGTCATTTTAAGGATATCCTTCTCTCATATATATTTGCTGTAGAACTAATGAATAACACTCTTTAACATTCTGTCAAATTCCTCGACTGTTTTTATTTAAAGTATGTTAATGATGCATTCATTTTTAACAATGTAATTTTAATAAGTAAATCCTATTCCTGATATTTTGAGGATGTTTAAAGATTTTAAACAATGTTGTAAGAAAAGATGAAATGTTAGTTTTCAAAGTTAATGTCATTAAGGGGAATCCCCCTTCTTGATTACTGTAATATTCATTGGAAGTATAATTCTGATGACATGATTACAGTTAAAGTATCAGTAAAATTTTATTATAAGTATAATTATGTATTATTTTACATGAACAAAAGTCCAGTGT